CCCACCTCGCCGAGCAAGCGTGCAAGGAATGCAGCACGGACCCTTGAAATCCAGCGCTCAAGTGTCGGCCTGGCTGCAGGCAGTGGTCCCCCTCCCCTCCCGCCCCGCCCCCCCCCCCCCCCTTCTGCCGGACGGAGGCGGCGCGACGCGGTCGCGAGTCACCGAGTCGTGGCGCCCCCCGGGCCGCGGGATTTGCGGCGCCGCGGGGGCGTGCTGCCGCGGCGGCCGCGGCGGCACGCCGTCCGCCCCCGGACCAACTTTACGGCCTTTTTGCGGCATGAGGCAGAGCCGGCCACTATGCAGACGCACGCCGCGCCGCCGGCCCTCGCGGCGAGCTGCGGCGCGGGCGCGGCCAGGCGCAGCTGGCCAGCAGGCGCCCACACGCACACCGGAATGCGCCGTGGCATGAGCCTAGCGGCGTATTTGTATTAACTCGCCGCGCTGGACCGCGCCCAGACGGTCCGACCCCCCCCCCCCCCCCCCCCGCCTCCGGTTTCCGGCGCCGGTTTAAACAAGATGACACGTCTGGCGGGCGGTGTTAACGATCCGCTGACGGGCCGCCGGGCTAGGTGGCCGGGCGGGCGTGCTCCACCCCAGCGCGACCGGGGCTGATGGCTGGCACACTGCGGAAGCTGACGATCTGAGATGTGACCTGCCTGATGGCCGTGCTCTTGAAGCTTGATCGTCGTATGCCAATGCTCGTGTCCGATTACCCCATCACGAAGAAAAATAAACAAAACAAAAAATGCTGGCCCCATTTAGGTGCATGTCAAGTACCGTCAGGCATGGATTGCCATTGCTGAAGGCTAACGGGACATCCTTCAGGCGCAGCGCAGCGACCAATCTCGGGTGGCAACAGACGGCGGTCCCTTTGCCATATCAGGTGCTGGTGAATCCCGTTCAGGCGTTCATAAACTTCACTTAGGCGCGAGTAAACCTCGTTTAGACGCTGGTCACCGAAACCTTACTCAGCTGCGGACGATAGTAAATCGCTCGGGCGCTGACAAACAGTAATCCGGCGCGCACGCGCAGGCGCGCCCCGCTGAATGGAGGAGCCCGTGTGAGCGCCATTCAGGCGATGGCGCGCGCTGGTCGGGTGCAGTCGACTGTTTGTCCTCCGGATGTTAACGTCACCGCGGCGGACACGCTCCCCGTGTGTTTATGTAAGGCGAGCTGTCAGGCTCAAGGTGATGTTTTATGAGGACATCACAGATCAGCGACGGTCACCGACGGTCTGGCTGGAGGGCGCGCTGCGGCTAGCTCGGCCCAGCCCGTGCGGCGTGGTCCGGCCTTCCCTTCGAGCCTGACCCCCGCCATGTGGCACTCGGTCACGCCCTGAAGCTTGTCGGGCGTCAGTTGGGCGCCGCTGTGGGCAGTGGAACCGCAACCCCAGCAACAGACCTGGTGACCGCCGCATCAGCTGATCGTGTGTGGGTTAATCACCCGGCCGAACGCGCTGCTTTTTATCGCTGGACAAAAACGGCGCGAAAGTTGGCGGCCGGCGGCGCCCCCCGCGTGGCCGCGCCGTCAGCTGTTTTCGCCGAGCCTGCGCCGCCAGGGTCAGGAGCAGAAGGGGATGGGGGGGGTGCCTCGCACCAGGGTCAGCGAGAAGTAAATGCACTCCGCGATAGGGCTTTAGGTCCGTCGGACAAAAAAGGCGGCCTGTTCAGGGGCGAGCGAGAGGGCGTGGAGGTCGGAGCTCCATGGTGCAGCGTGCAGCCTCGGAGTTAGTAGGCACCAAACGCCTCCAACGCCTATGCATTCGACATCCGAGCTGGGCTCTCGTTCACGGAAGTCAATTTCGTTCGTATGAGGAATCACAAGTTCTGGTTAGTTCTAGTCGCCAGTCATGGTCTTTGGTGGCCCGAAGATCTGCTACGGTACGTGCGCTCATGGTTTGTACCGGACCCCAGCACAGGAAATGGTGTAAAAATATGTATTCCTTAGAGCGGAACGTACCAGCGAAACCGAATTTAATTTCAAACACGTTTGAAGTTGACGGAAAAAAACTGGCTGAGCGCAGATGTGCAGGACTCGAAAATATCATTGAGGCACGAGATAATCATGCACCCGCGGTTGCTACTACACTGCGCAATGAATCATTGTTTAACCTACTAACTTTGTCTCCAACTCGGAATCGTTTCATTAGCATTTATGGGTAACGCGTGAGCCGTCTGCACGTGCACCCACTTAATTGTGAAGACCACCATCTGCCACATAGGCTGCGCCGCTAAATATCGTCATCGGTGTCTTACGCCCGGCCTGGACTGGACACTGGTACGTCAGGGGACCGGACACTGACAGCTCAGCACGCCGGCTTGAACGGACGCGTGGCACGTCATGGTTGAGCGGATATACGCCTTCTGACGAAGTACAAGTACCGGCCTGGACCGGACACTAGCACTTCGGGGGGTAGAATACTGACACCTCTGACGGAGTGCCGGCCTGGACCGGACACTGACACGTCAGGGGGCCGGACACTGGCGGAGTGCCGGCCTGGACCGAACACTGACACGTCAGGGGGCCGGACACTGGCGGAGTGCCGGCCTGGACCGAACACTGACACGTCAGGGGGCCGGACACTGGCGGAGTGCCGGCCTGGACCGAACACTGACACGTCAGGGGGCCGGACACTGGCGGAGTGCCGGCCTGGACCGAACACTAGTACATGAGGAGGTCGGACACTGACACTTTGGAAGTCAAGGCTGAGAGCCGATCTGGACCGGACATTGGCGTGTCAGCGGGCCGGACGCTGACACCTCTAACGGGGTGCCGGCCTGGACTGGACGCTGGCACGTCAGGGGAACGGATACTGACAACTCCGGGCAGAGTGCCGGCCTGATCCGGACACTGGCACGCGAGGAGATCGGACACTGACGCCTGGGAATGGGGGGGGGGCTGACGCTGGCTGCATCTGATCACTCCATTAATGTGGTAACGTTGAGCGTATTTAAAAACGATATACTGTCAACAACGACGATTTGGTGTTACGATTGCAGTAGGGATCATCGTTAACTTCTCATGGATCTGCAATTATCTGAGAACAAGGCGTGCCCGTGTTGGCACGTCGCCGCTCCAGCTTCACGTTAGTGCCCAGCAGCCCGCAACATAACTCGAGCATCTGACAGAATGCGGCGGTGGGCACGCTGGGCACCCAACGCACAGCGAGCGCCGTCTCGACGTGGCTTGGGACCGCGCTCTCTACAGCATATCTGAGAAAGCGTAGTTTAGCGTTATCGGAGTCGACAAGGCCGCTGGCTGCGGCCGCCGCCAGCCGGCCCGAGCGTCGCCCGAGCTGGCCGTCGCCACCCGGACGCCCGGCGCTGGCGCCGGCGCCGCGCCCGGCCCAAAGTTCAGCAGGAACGGCCGGGCCCGGTCCGGGCGGCGACGAGATCAGGTCAGCGGGCGGCACGTTTGATCGGGAGAGGGAGGCCCGGCGGACCAAGTCGGCACCGCAGCAGAAATAGACGACCGCGAGCGTCAGCCCTGCTGATCCGCGTGCGCGGCGGCCCGCCGGCTGAGCGCTAGGGCGGCGCTATTTCGATATTCGGGGCAAAGAGAAGCACCTGTTGGCAACCGACCTGCAAAACGGCGTCGTGTCGATGTTGAGAAACTAGGTTTGGGTCGGTAAGAGTCTCCCCTGCCGCTGCCTCAACTTAATCTCGTCTTCACTCGCTTTGCGGATAATGTGAGCCGAGTCAAGGACGTCGGCTGGCGGGCATGTTCTGCTCTCTGCGACTCGAGTGTCTGAAGTCATGTTCACTTTGATGCATGTTGATGTGGCTGAAACACTGCATGCATATTGCGGCCAAGTCGGCACGGCGTGGTCGTGCCACAGCATTTTACGATACGAATAGACCCTGCGGCACACAGCATTGTTTTGCCACCAGACCTGCGCGAAACCCCTACAATGGACTAGAATTGGATTACGTCACTGCGGTACGTTTCATGTGATGAGACGCCAACTTGTCGCTTTGAAATTGCACCACGTGGGGTAATGGGACGGGCAAGGTGAATGCGTTTTCCGATTTGTTTTTCAAACTTTTGATGTAGTTACCTATAGGAAAAGTCAGTGGAACTACGAGGTTGACTGTTCGCAGATACGTTAAGAACAGAATAAGATGTTGATTCACATTACGGAACCGGTCACTGGTTTCGTCCTATCTACAGGCTTGGCGAGTGGGAAGGCAAGGCCGAAAGAGCTCGGAGCTCCAAGCTACTTATACGGCCTTTGGCTCAAAGTCATTGGCGTAACCCTTTCGACAACAAAGTGCGTGACGCGTGCCCTGTGTGATGCGCGTGTAGCGTGGTGTACGTGGTGTAAGCGTTTCGAGTTCATCCGTGTTGTCAAAAAGTGTGCATGACCTTGTACGGCACGGATGACGAAGATCTTACACCGATTGTCGTGTCTATTACCGACTCCAGGTTTAACCCTGTTTGAAGAGTGCACGTATCGCGCCCTCATCGCAACTGCCCAGCGCCGTGACCCGTGTCCCTGCTCCCCGTCAGCAGTCGGAGTCCGTCAGAGCCGCGCGGCCCCACGGACGGACATGCACCCTCTCCTGACCGGTGCTCTCTCTGTCCCCGCGGACGGACGCGCTCCCTCTCCTGACCGGTGCCCTCCCTGTCCCTGCGGACGGACATGCTCCCTTTGCTGACCGGTGCTCTCTGTCCCCGCGGACGGGCATGCACCCTCTCCCGACCGGTGCTCTCTCTGTCCCCGCAAACGGACATGGTCCCTCTCCTGACCGGTGCCCTCTCTGTCCCCGCGGACGGACGCGCTCCCTCTCCTGACCGGTGCTCTCTCTGTCCCCACGGACGGACGCGCTCCCTCTCCCGACCGGTGCTCTCTCTGTCCCCGCGAACGGACATGGTCCCTCTCGTGACCGGTGCCCTCTCTGTCCCCGCGGACGGACATGCACCCTCTGCTGACCGGCGCCCTCCCTGTCCCCGCGGACGGACGCGCTCCCTCAGCTGACCGGTGCCCTCTCTGTCCACAGCAGCAGCAGCAGCAACAGTATTCGCCGCAGCGCCGCGGCGACAACTACGGCTACGGCTTTTACCAGACAAGGGACGGCCAGACGGACATTGAGCCGCGGCCGCTAGGCGACCGTCGGTGCGGCGCCGGCGGCTGCGGTGCCGGCGGCTGCAAATGCGTCGGCGAGAAGGGCAGCAGGGTAAGCTGGGCGCGGGCTGGGGTGGCGCGTGGCCCCCGCTGCCGCGCCGCTGGGCGGCTGCCGGTGGCGGCGGCGCACACCTGCCGACGGATGCTAGGCCTCCCGCGCTTCCGGAGGAGGGCCAGCGGTTCACGGTCGTGAGCCAGAAGCTGAATGGAGCGGCTGAGATCACGGTGTGCTCGGGTGCGGCAGGTTCAATACTAGGAAACGGAGCACGAGCCCACGGGCTGGAAAATAATTTTACGTAAGACGGGAAGCCATCGAAATGGACGCGCGTGGCGGGTGTAAGCCATGACAATAGACGCGCCGCTTCAGACGACATGTTATATATATATATATATATATATGGATGGATGGATGTGGGCGTGTATGTATGTACTTATGTATGCATGCAAGTACGCATACGTATGACGCTCGTGTTAAGGCCGACGAGTGGAACATACGTCGGCTGTTTTCCTTCCGTGCGTCAGTCACGGGTACTCGTCGCGTGGGAAATACAAGCCGATGAGCATTCGGCGCGAGACGTGTCTCTGCCAGCGACCATGTGTGGGGAACGGGCTGTGACACAGCTGCTCGTCACCTCAGGGAGCGCCGGGAGCCCAGGGGCCCTCTGGCGTCAAGGGCCAGCAGGGATTCCCCGGCATGGAGGGCCTGCCCGGCCCGAAGGGAGACAAAGGATCCGGCGGTCCGCAGGGACCCAGGGGTCTGCAGGGAGATCGGGTAAGTGTTCCGCCGAATAGCCGGCCACCCAGCTCTTCTCATAGCCTGGGCCGGTCGCCATATTGGGATATGAACCGTGAGAATAAGTCGTCATGTGTCGTTATCTTTTAATGTGCTTATTTGCTGACAAAATAGGAAGCTGATGAGGAAGAGGCTTTTTAATTGACAGTTGGATTATTAAATCCTTTGGTACATAACTCACTCCAACTTTCCACACCTATAATCTGCTCTGTTCTACTATGCTCCATATTCCTGAACTCTGTTTACCGGACACTTTGTTCTGCAATGGAACTTTGATGCCTGCTCCTATCGAAAGAGATTAGCATGCAACTTACAACCACTCACTAAGATTGCATTGCTCTGAACATTCATATGACCACTGCACTCATCGCCGTTCCATAGCAGGATTCGCGAAGACGTGCGTCACGCTTCCTCCTACAAAGCCAAGATTCTGTCCCGCTTTTATCCACGACCATCTTAACTTAAGCGTCTCCTTCATTCGTCCAAGTGCCTGACTTCCTCCCCCACCTCTCCACGCAAGGACAGCCGAGACCAACCAACCAACAACAACAACAACAACAACAACAACAACAACAACAGTGCCTTCCTTAGACCCAGCGCGCCCTTGCGGCATAACACCGCCGCCTGGACCGTTCGCAGGGCAAGATGGGCATGCCTGGCTTCCCCGGCATCAACGGCATCCCAGGCCTGCCAGGCGGTCCCGGTCCGCGAGGCTTCCCTGGACTGGACGGCTGCAACGGCACCGACGTGAGTTCCCCACGTGGCGCCGAACGCGGCGCGAGTCGGCACGTGTCCAGGCCGCCGCTTGGCCTCGGATCACCGCTTCGCTTGGCGGCGTCGGTGCTGCGAAGCGGCTGCTTCGCGTCTAGCCGCTTCCAGAGGACCTCACGCCGATGTTCTCACACTGCGAGGCGCGCCGCTTCTCACTAGGAGCTCTAGCGTGTCCGCCTCGGGCGGGACACTCGGCCAGTGAGGAGGTCCCTGTCGCCTTCCGTCTGGTCAGGTGGAGAGCTCATGGGTGACTTCATGACTTGTCGACCACAAAGCGGTGCGTGATGGGAAACCCCGTTTGCGAAGTTTTTCATGTTGGTTTTAAAGGTAAGGTGTTACCTGCAGGATGACTGTCGTTGCCGAGTTATTCGCCCAGGCCTTTTTAGCTATTTCGGTACACTGGTCCGATGCCTGCCAGCCCAGTATTATCACATCACAGTCCTGTGTGATAGATGCTGGCGGCGCGGTGGGCTAATGTTGCATGCAAAGCCAGCTCAAAGCCAGGGAATGTCGTAATTTGGCACCAAAAGCGGCGAACGTCAAAGTTTGAGTCTGAGTCTAAGTCTGAGTTCCCACTCGGCAGGGACCGCCCGGCTTCCCCGGCACCCCAGGCCCGGCCGGACCTCCGGGCTTCCCTGGCGTACCAGGAACTAAAGGTAAGAGAGCGGACGGGACACCTCTGCTGTCTTCACACCGGTCACCTGACTGACGGGACACCTCTGCTGTCCTCACACCGGTCACATGACTGACGGGACACCTCTGCTGTCCTCACACAGGTCACCTGACTGACGGGACACCTCTGCTGTCCTCACACCGGTCACCTGACTGACGGGACACCTCTGCTGTCCTCACTCTGGTCACCTGACTGACGGGACACCTCTGCAGTCCTCACACTGGTCACCTGACTGACGGAACGCCTCTGCTCTCCTCACTCTGGTCACCTGACTGGGGGGGGGGGACGCCTCTGCTCTCCTCACACTGATCACTCGACTGACGGGACGCCTCTGCTCTCCTCACACTGGTCACCTGACTGGGGGATGCCTCTGCTCTCCTCACGCTGGTCACCTGACTGGGGGGGGGGGGGGGCATCGGCTGTCGTCACACTGGTCACCTGACTGGGGAGATGCCTCTGCTCTCCTCACACTGGTCACCTGACTGGGGGGGGGGGATATCTGCTGTCGTCACACTGGTCATCTGACTGGGGGGACACCTCTGCTGTCCTCGCACTGGTCACCTGATTGACGGGACACCTCTGCTCTCCTCACACTGGTCACCCGACTGACGGGACACCTCTGCTCTCCTCACACTGGTCACCCGATTGACGGGACACCTCTGCTGTACTCACACTGGTCACCTGACTGACGGGACACCTCTGCTGTTCTCACACTGGTCACCTGATTGACGGGACACCTCTGCTGTACTCACACTGGTCACCCGATTGACGGGACACCTCTGCTCTCCTCACACTGGTCACCTGATTGACGGGACACCTCTGCTGTTCTCACACTGGTCACCTGACTGACGGGACACCTCTGCTGTTCTCACACTGGTCACCTGACTGACGGGACACCTCTGCTGTTCTCACACCGGTCACCTGACTGACGGGACACCTCTGCTGTTCTCACACTGGTCACCTGACTGACGGGACACCTCTGCTGTTCTCACACTGGTCACCTGACTGACGGGACACCTCTGCTGTTCTCACACTGGTCACCTGACTGACGCCGCTTTCAAAGATGCGAGAAATCCGTTCCCAGACGTCTGACCGCTCCGTAGCCAGTAGAAATAACAGGCCCCAGAGGATGTTCAGCAACGCAGGAGTGGATTCGGGCGCTGGCGGACCGGACACTGGCTTGACGGGAGTAGCTCAGAACTTCTATTCTCACCTCCAAAAATCAACATAATCTGTCTTATCACGCCATGTCGGCTCGCGCAGAATAATTTGTGCATACCACTTGGCGCTTCATTTCTTCACCTGTTCCCGTTCAGTTTTCTTACACGAATCCTACCGGCTTCGCACGCTTGCACGCATTGTGTCTCTCCATCTTGTGGTAAACACCCGCCCAGAGCGCCCGACTTTGTGCGCTTTGACAGGGAGCCGTGACCCCGACTGCCTTCCGGGCCAGTGGTGGCCGGCTCATTTGCCTGTCCTCGTGCGCGCACGTGTCATTGGCCCGCCTGCAGCCCGCTCCCGGCGTACGTGTCTGTCAGGGCTGGCGCCGTCGAGGTCGACCCCGCCGCGACCCAGAAGGGGGCGCTCCTGTTGCGGGACAGACGTGCTGCGTCAACAGGGAGCTCCTGTCCGGGGTGGGGAATGGACGTGATCGGGGAATAGAAGAGGCGAGCCCAGAATAAGAAGGCACGTGCCAGGAACAAGAAGGGGTGTACCGAGAGCCGAGGTTAGACATGATCGGAGCGGGGCATTGGCATGCTTTGGGCGGAGACCTGCTCACAGCGGAGAACCGATGACATAAGGGAAGATGGCTGATGTGGTCAGAGAAGTGAACCCATGTCCTCAGAGCAGAGGAAGGGCGAGATCAGAGCCAAGAGCTGGCGCGCTCGGGACGGAAATCCGAGGCTCTCAGAGCTCAGAGCAGAGTGGACGAGGGGCTGGCGGGGCATCCTCAGAGGGCGGTGGGGCATCCTCAGAGGGCGGCGAATCACCCTCAGAGGGCGGAGGGAGCATCATCAGAGGGCGGCGGGACATCCTCAGAAGGCGGCGGGACATCCTTAAAGGGCGGCGGGGCATCCTCGGAGGGCGGCGAGGCATCCTCAGAGGGCGACGGTGCATCCCCAGAAGGCGGCGGGACATCCTCAGAAGGCGACGGGGCACCCTTCAGAGGGCGGTGGGGCATCCTTAAAAGGCGGCGGGCATCCTCAGAAGGCGGCGGGACATCCTTAAAGGGCGGCGGTGCATCCTCAGAGGGCGGCGGAGCATCCTCAGGAGGCGGCGGGGGGCATCCTTAAAAGGCGGCGGGCATCCTTAAAAGGCGGCGGGCATCCTCAGAAGGCGGCGGGACATCCTTAAAGGCGGCGGTGCATCCTCAGAGGGCGGCGGGGCATCCTCAGGAGGCGGCGGGGCATCCTTAAAAGGCGGTGGAGCACCCTCAGAGGGCTCCGGGTCATCCCCAGAGGGCGAAGGAGCATCACCAGAGGGCGGCGGAACATCCTCAGAGGGCGGCGGGGCATAGAGGGCGGCGGAGCATCACCAGAGGGCGGCGGAGCATCCTCAGAGGGCGCCGGGTCATCCCCAGAGGGCGAAGGAGCATCATCAGAGGGCGGCGGGGCATCCTCAGAGGGCGGCGGAGCATCCTCAGAGGGCGGTGGAGCATCATCAGAGGGCGGCGGGGCATCCTCAGAGGGCGGCGGGCCGCCGGCGTCGCTGACCGGCCATGCGCCGGGGGCGGCCGGGCCTGGCCGCGCGTCAGGGGCGGTCCAGCCTCCGGCGCCGCGCCGCGTGGCTCCATCCGACGTGTGTATGACAGCTCCACTGACGCGGTAAGTGGGGCGGCCTGCATATACAGCGCGCCGGACCGTGTATGCGGCCGGCTGCTGATACCATACGCAGCTGACCTTACGGCCGACCGAAGCATGACGCTATGCGGCGCATGGCCTACCAAATGGCCGGGGATAAAGCATGTGGAGCGCCAGACATGGCCAAAGACTTCCACAAAAGAAGAGCCAACGTGCGAATAGGCGTGCAGCAAGCTTGATGAAAGCAACAGCAAGTTTTTTTAAAGGGGTCCGGCACGTGCTCGACGAAAGAGAGCAGGCATGATGAAGCACAGGATGTCCGGCAGCCTGGCATCACGCCCTGAGCATGGTCACACACAGTCCGCGGTAAATCTGCTGCCATTCACTGCGCCGGAAGGCGACAGACGACTGGACGGCCACACCGAGGCTGCGGACGGCGGTGGCCGGCCGCCGAGTCGAACGCCGGTCGGCCCTGTCCGGACGACATGCGCATTCGGCGCGGAATGCCGCGCCATTACCGCCGGCTCCCGGCTAGGCCGGGCATAAACATTTACGTGAGCCGCGCTGCAGTGCATAAACAGAGCGCTGCCGGGGGCGGGCGGCGGCGCGCCGGCGGCCGAGCCGCTCTGCCGGCGGCGGCGGCCGGCCGCTCTCAACACGAGGGTGGCCCGGCGCGCGTGCGGCTCCTGACGAGTCACGTGCTCGGTCGGCGCCTGCGTCGTGTGTGGAGCGCAGAGCGGGCCTCTCGCCGCTGTCGTGGAGGTCTTTTGCGGGAAATGGGGGCGCGTCTAGCCCCGCAACCAGGCACGACGCGTTCGTGTTGGCAAATTGCCTGTCGGGGATGGCATCTCTCGACACGGTTTCTGCCAGGAGATGGCGTCCTTTTGCCCCTGAGCCCTTTGGAAGGCTTGTCCCAGTTTCTGCGGTAGATGTATCACTTGCGGCTTCCGGCGTCGACCAAAGGACGGGGGGGGGGAGGGGGGCAGCCGGCTCCCAGACGCCACATATTATCAACAAACAGTTCCCGCGCCGACACGTCAGCACCCGCCGTATGTCTGCCGGTGGAGCGGCACGTCAGGCTGGTCGTTTTGCCTTATTTAAACTTTATCGTTATGAATCTGACCCTCTTATCCTCTTATCTTGTTTTATCCTAAATCCTCGTGACGCCCCGCTTATCCAGGTCAGGCTGTATGAGCCAGACAAGAGAGGGCCAAGAGGCCCCTTGCTAAGGTGAACGGCGACCGGACGCCCAGCGCACACCCCGAGGGGTTTTTGCGTGGGTTAAAGCTCGGTGGTTGCTCTCCAAGGCGCATATTGTCCTGCTCCACCGTTATCTATTGTCCTTTATCCCATAGCCCTGAAATGCCCATTTCTGGTTGGAAAGGCTCTTATCCAAGCAACCAAACAACCAAAATCGTTGCTATGGTGCGATATGTCTTTGCCTGTCGTAGCTCTAAATCCCTAGACTTCGGAGCTGGGGCCCTTCTGGCAGATTTGGACATAGTCGCATTGACTCTGATGTTGCAAGGGTGCTGTTGGGGAGAGCTCACACGAGCTCACGCAGATATCGAGTGATGAGTCTGGCCACGACTGCACCGCTTGTAGCTTCCTTGCTAGTGGTTGAAGGTCCGTACCTTTAGAATATGCCAGACTTCATAGGTGCACAGATAAACGTTTTCCTTTCATGATGTTCCTGCCTGCTTAGGCGGATAATTTTGGGGGGGAACCTAAATTCAATGCTGGGAATAATCACTTTAAGAACCTCACTTCCCCAGATGCGGTTTTCTACCGTCCCCGTGCCCCCCCCCCCTCCCCCATCCACACGTGCCCTGTCTTCCACCCTGCTCTAAAGCTGGATGTGGCGCTCGGGCTGAACCGACCGGCGCGCGCTTGCTCCCTGACCCTATACCCGCGACGCCTGGCAGCGGGTTTGCGCCCATGAGGAACACGTCCAGCTGCTGGGGCCAGTCGAGCTCCGTGAACGCTTCCGGCGGACGCTGCATGCCGCGCCGCGAGACCCAACTGACCTCTCGGACCGCCGCCGTCATCACCTCGCCTCTGACCTTCGGCGGTTCTGTGCGCCCCCAGGCAACAAGGGCGAGGCGGCACGCCTGCCGGGACCGGACGTGAGAGGTCAGAAGGGCGAGCCGGGCCGTGACGGCAGCCGCGGCGTGCCCGGCCAGCCCGGCGACATCGGCTTCCCCGGCGAGAAGGGCGACCGGGGACCTCGCGGCCCAGCTGTAAGTTCAGCGCTCTGCCACTTCACGCGGTGTGAAGAAGCCGTCGTAACGAGCAACCGGAAGCAAAACGGCATACCTGGCCTGTGCATTTGCGTAACGTCTTGAAAAGGCCAATATTAGAAAACGATAAACTGAAAAGTAAGCACACCGGTCTCGTATTGGTATTTGTCTTGTCAAATCGGCATGCCGGCTCTTCTTCGCCAAACGTAGGTCGCCATCAGAGGTCGCGGACTTCGCACCGTCTACGGCGACGTGCCCGTGTCACGAACGGAATACACTAGTGATGGCGACGGAATATGTGGCTTTCTACAGCAGCTTGCAGCGGACGATTTTCGAGGAATTCGTACCCGAATGGCATCGTACTGAATGACGCACGTTCGGCTTGCAGGGCGTGGCCAATTGTTCGGCTCGACATGAAGCTGTCTGATCCGCTGTGTTTGTGTTCTGCTGCCCGACCTGTGTGTGACCGAATCTTCAGGTTTGAAATGATGTTGTCTGTGCGCGTGGTCTACAGCCTCACCACAAACCCATCGAATAGAATGCACTCTGTCAGTTGTGCTCCGCCTTGCCCCGATGCGCTCCTCCGTTCACGTCATGTGTCGGTGTGAACAGGAGTCTGTCATTTGACCGCCCGACAGTTGGTTAGCTGACTGTCCGACAGTCACCGATCGGCTATCCGGCCGCGGCCGGTGATCGGCTATCCGGCCGCGGTCGGCGGCCGCCGCGCCACCCGGCAGCGCCGTTCGATCTGCCGTGGCCGGCGATGACTCATGATTGGCTGCCCTGCCAGCCGATGGGTCATCCGTGTATTTGTGTTGGGCCGCTGGCACCTGCTCCGTGCAAACACGGCCCCTGTGCTCCACTGCAGCCGATGTCACGCCCCCACCCCCGCCCCTTGCCCATCCCCAAGGGCAGGGGGAGGATACCCACTACCGGAGCATCCGGGTCTCCATCGGATCCTCCGCCGATAAGGAGAGGACCGGGGGTCCTCATCTGTGTCACTCCTGGGACGGCATCTGCCACGGCCGCTTACCCAGTGGTATCCCTGCTGTCCGCTAACCGCATAAACCGCACCGTTTGGGAAATCTGCACCCTAGGCGTGCCAGTGACGCAGACTATTTAGTAAACTGGTCTTCGTACATTAAAATTAGATCAAATGCATGGGAACGTCGGTTTGTTTTGATCCTTTCCACCAGCACACCTCGGCTGGAAAACCTAAAATGATGTTCAGTCGGCCCAAACCCACCCCTAAATCAGGTTCGAAACGAGGTTAAATGTGAACCGCCGCACAGAAATGCCAGGTAAAATCTAGAATTTTACAGATTTCGTGGTTAGAACTGGTACGGCCTGCCCAGCATTAAAAACAAAGTTCATTAGCGCAGGATAAAACCCAGAATTCCGATGACTCGCTATTACAAACCGTGGCGCGACGCATGGTTGCAAAGATCCCAAACGCTCGCTCTGCGACACGCCGTCAGCTAAATCACCACGCATTGCCGCATTTATCGAAGGAGAGTTATGGCTGCGTTGCATGCTGCACATCATTTTCACCGGCCAACACTTCAGTCGCCCTGGACGGCAGTCAGCAGGCAGGCAGTCAGCCACGGAACATATGCCAGTGTGCATGTGACACGTCCTGCGTTCTTAAGCGGCATGTGTGGCATGAACTCTCCCCAGGTAATAGCAGCCTTCCGCTTACTGTGCATGACGCTCCACATGGCTGCAAACCCACACACTGCGCTCTAACACCTCAATCTGGCTCGAACTCCGGTCCCGAAGTCTGCGCTCTAACGCCCCGCCCCGGCCCGCAACCAGGGACTGCCGGGCAGTTCCGGCCTGCCCGGTCTCAAGGGCGAGATGGGGGTCGGCTTCATCGGCCAGCGGGGCGAGAGGGGCGAGCCAGGCCTCCCCGGCCTGCCCGGCGACTGCGAAAAGTACCAGGACGGTAACTGCACGACCTACGTAGGGCCACGTGGCTTTCCCGGCCCGCGGGGACCTCAGGTCAGGCTCCAGCGAGCCGCTGGCCGACTTGTTCAGCGAGCCGCTGCTCGTCCAGTCCAGAGGGCCGCTGCTCGTCCTGTCCGGCGCATCACCGCTCGTGCAGTCTCGGGAGCGACCTCGGCTCGTCCAGGTTGTGGGCAGCTGCCCGCCCACAGTCCGTCTACGGTCTCGTCGCTCGTCCTGGCACTCTGTCGCACGCTCTCCATCGGATGTGTGTGTGCCCGTTGCATCGTCTCTCTGCCTCTGTCTGTCTCTGTCTGTCTCCGTCTGGATCTGGCTCTGCCTCTGTCTCCGCCTGATGTACGCCCCGGCATGCTCTGTCACCCCTGCTCTTGTCCTGACTCCGCGGCCGCCGGTCCGCCTCGCCCGCGCCCTGCCCCGGCCCGCCGATCGCCCGCAGGTGAGCTCGGCCGGAGGGCGCGCTCGGCCGGAGGCTAACCGGCTGTGCCCTGCGTCGTAGGGCTCGCCTGGCTTCCCTGGCCCGCCCGGCGCCCGGGGAAACGAGGGCGTGTGCAGTGGGGGACCGGTCGGCCGGAAGGGTGAGCCTGGCCAGCCGGGCTGCGGCCCGTGCGGTCCCAAGGAGTGCACAGAGCCCGGCTGCAAGGAGGTTATCAGAAGAAATGAAACGATATACCTTCCGGTGAAGGTGAGGGAGGGCACAAACGGAGCTGTCTGGCGTACCGGCTCGGCACGGCGAATTAACGGGTGCAGAAGCGGAGTCGGATGGCTAACCAGCGGCGGGCGCATCCGGCGGCTAACCAAACGGGGTCGGACACTGGCGGCTAACCAAGCAGGGAGCAGCTGCAGCCGGCGGCTAATGGACCGAGATCTGCAGGCGGCGGCTAACCAGCAGGGTGCTGCGGCCGGCGGCTAACGGTCGGGGCGCCGCGGTCGACGCTGCTGGGGTTGCTGGTTGTGGTGGAATGGCGGCTAACCAGCAGGGTGCTGCGGCCGGCGGCTAACGGTCGGGGCGCCGCGGTCGGCGCTGCTGGGGTTGCTGGTTGCGGTGGAATGGCGGCTAACCGGGGCGCGGCTGTTGTGTGTGCTCAGGGTGTGTCGGGTCGACCCGGCGTGTCCGGCCAGAAGGGCGAGATGGGCCTCGGCCTGGTGGGGCCGCCCGGCGAGAAGGGGGAGTCGGGGCCGCCGGGGCCGCCCGGCTTCCGGCCCGGTCCCGAGCAGGTCGGGCCCAACTGCAGCACGATCGAGGTGCTGCCCGGCCCCCGGGGCGAGCGGGGCAGCAAGGTGAGGCCCGTGCGGTGCGCATCCCGGCATGGGTCTGCATGGGCCTCGTACACCACGCCGCCGCCTTCGGCCAGCGCCATGTCCTTGTGCCGGCGCAGCCGACAGCGCCGCTAGGCGGCTGCAGGATGAACTATCGCCAGTATCGCTAGTAGTGGTTGCCAGACTTGTGCTTGATTCCAGCGGATTGATTCCGTCTTCACCTTGATTGGATTAGGATTCGGCATAATTGAATGCCCGACTGAATGGGATTCCGAATCGTTCCACGTGCTTTGCAACACATTCGGAATCAAATTGATTCCTCTTTGAGCTTTCTTCATTCACATAATGGTTCAATCACATTCTCTTAGATGTTGACATGGTTCACTTGAAAGCTTTACTGGTAGTATATGTAGTCTGCATTATTGAAATATTCCTACTTATATATATATATATATATATATATATATATATATATATATATATATATATATATATATATATGGATGCCAGTCAAGCGGAATCAAGCACATATCAGCCAATGGCCAGTTTTCCTCCTCCGTGGCTTGCCGCCTCTATCCATTTCGTGTCGGCCTGAACTTGAACATCGTGTATTGCATAACGATAACCATTAAGTAGCTAATAGTTCGTTAGAAGCAATACTGTTAAGTCCGCAATTGCTATCATAATTGTAGCATGTACCTGAGCAAGTGGCATGCGTTGTCAGGCTGCGCATTGTGGATTGTGAAAACCATGTAGATAGTAGCCTCCCTAGTATTTTCTAGCACCTTTATGCTGTATCGTCTTTAGCTTAAACTGTTTCCTCGTGGCTTCACTTTTTATATTGATCAAGACAAAGCGTTGAAAGGATCGTTGAACCAGTCATGCTCGTGAAGCGTGCTTAAGTCAACTAGTATATGTTGCAGTCATAAGCAAATGCCTGGGAAGTGCGATTGTTTCAGGAGATGTGATGTTTCAAAGGCTCACAATTTTGTGTTCCACATGGTAGTGTGATCAGAGGGTGCAGGGTTCGAACCCCGGATTTCCGGGGGCGGGGGGGAGCACTGTGGGTTCTCTCCAGGTCGGCACAGCTTAAGAAGGGGGACAGGACTTTACGTTTTTAAAGAGTTGTACTTTCAGCAGGTAACGAAAGGGTCAAGTCTCCTGAGAGGATCTAGGGCCCCGTAGTTTTAGGGTCCGAGACCGAGACCGAAAGAGATCTGGAACGGTCGACAGCCCTGCGTCGGTTTAGTGGCGAGGTTGGCGGAGGCTCTCTATGTATCGTCAGGGGCCCTAAGGACTGCTTTGATCTTGTATAACTGGCTAAGGCCACCTCAGCAGAAAGCATGGGTCATTGGAGGCTCGTGAATGCCAGGGCCCTTCGACAGAGGGTCCTTTGTTATTTGTTAAGGCTAAGGTTCCCTTGTGACTGCTAGTGTCCGTCTGACCAGCACTGACTCCTTTGAAACTGAAAGCCATGTTAAGCTTTCTGTGACGGGCTATTCACCAGTCATAACGGGCCAGTGTTGTTGGAACGTAGAGCACCAGTATCTTCCAAGACTACTAAGAGCTTCCTTATGAACACCAGGCATCCCTATGACGGGCCTGACCGGTCAAGGGCCCCCTCAAGGGCTGCTGGGATTCTTGGTGACTCCCACAGAGCCTCTTGAGGTTGCTAGGGATTTTTTGTGACAGGTTAGGGACCTCAAGATGGGGAGGGTAGGGCCTGCAGGATCTAACCGAAGATCTGTCGGTCCCAACTGCCTCCTGGAGGTCAAACTCATGATTTGAAGCCTGTGAAACACGATTATTGCTGCCCCGGAGATGGAGAGACTGGAGGATAGGCGCACGCCGGGGCTAGAGTGTGGCCTTCTGCCCCTTCTCCCATCCGGTGACTCTGCTGTTCAGACCCTATGTCGGTCTGAACACTCCTGCCCGCCCACCCCGTACGCTCATTGTCTGCGCTTCCGATACCCTTTCAGCTTTCATAACTCGTTTTTAGAGCAGGGGATCAGGACTGGGTAAAGAGGTCCGCTCATCGGTTGGAATCCTCTGTGCTTGCTCCCGCTAAAGCCGCAAGAGAGCAAGTCAATCGCTGTACACGCGGCTTAAAATGAGCATTCGATCGGCACAATTCCTCAGACCTTCAACTCTTCAGCACTAAGGCCCAATTTTTAGCATTTTTTTTTTTTAATTTTTACTTGTTAGTTCTATTCATATGCGTTTATTCAACGACCAGTTCCCAAACTGGTTCTCAGCCAAAAGCACCGGCATGGCACCCAGGCATTGACCAGGCAGCCTTCAGTAACCCCAGATAACGCACCAGACATCGTCGCGCGGTGCTGACATTCTTTAGAAGGTAACCGATCCGACACCGGATATCCGTAGCACGTGGAAACGCCCACTCCGTGGAATGGTTCAGCTGCCGCTACGCGCCGCTGGTTTGATAATTATCAAATATATATAGAGCTGTCTATATCTATTCAGTGTTTTACATGTCGCTGCTGCCTGCTTGCTCCCTGCTTTCATGGTGTATTGAGCTTGAATTAATTGTCATTTATTCCGTGTCATACACAGGTCTTCCGAGGGACAGGTGAGTGCACTCCACTCTCGCATCATGTGCTTCATTTACTGGCTTCAGATGTCACTGATCGACAGGCTGATGTCACTGAAGACGCTGGCTTCAATACCTCAATTCTTGTATTCCACGGCGAATATGATAAAGGCCGTAAGCCTGAGAGTAACGCAAGCATAGAAGCGTGGAACAAATCATTATAAACGGCATTGCAACGTGCGGTTTAGTTTGCTGACTTCTACATGATTCCTTGTTCCGTCATTTTTTTTTAATTTTCGCATTGGTGTTCACATATCGACACGTGAGCCGCGAGGACAGCTCTTGTCCGGACCTCACGATCCGGTTTTATGTCCCGGCCGGTTCTGACCCTCTGCTGTCCACAGGGAGACAAGGGCATGGCAGGGCCACCCGGACCGGCGGGCAACAACGGACTGCCTGGCCTGCCCGGTGACACGGGCATGAAGGGCGAGAAAGGACTGAGCGGACTGCCCGGACCTCGGGTACGCACCACCTCCAGTGTGTGGCGCCGATCTGAGTGCTCTTATCAGGAGAGCTTGGTCGCAATCCGTGTTACGCATCAGCAGCAGCTTTACGCGGGAGTCGGAGGCTTCAAATTGCAGATTCCTGAGCAGTCTGTTTGGCCTTCCCAAAGCGGCAGAGCAGATGCGCGCGCGTGCGCGTGCATGTGTGTGTGTGTGTGTGTGTGTGTGTGTGTGTGTGTGTGTGTGTGTGTGTGTGTGTGTGTGTGTGTGTGTGTGTGTGTGTGTGTGTGTGTGTGTGCGTGTGCGTGTGTGCGTGTGTGTGTGTGTGCGTGCGTGTGTGTGTGTGTGTGTGTGCGTGCGTGCGTGCGTGCGTGCGTGCGTGCGTGCGTGAGTGCGCGCGTGCGTACGTGCGTGGTGCGCGATCTGCGCGCGTCCCCGTCCCCGTGCGCTCGTCTGATCCCCGGGCGTTGTTCGGGCCCGGCGCCGGACGCGTCACAGCCTGTCTGCCCTGCCTGCAGGGTCGCGACGGCCAGTTCGGCCCGCCAGGGCCGCAGGGCTTCAAGGGTGACCAGGGCGTGCCCGGCCTCGACGGCCAGGACGGCTTCCCCGGCCAGAAGGGAGGTCCGGGCCCGGCCGGCCAGGACGGCGTGAGGGGCCTGCCGGGCCCGCGCGGCGCACCCGGCGGCGGTCCCGGTGGTCCGCCCGGAGACAAGGGCGTGCCCGGCTTCCCAGGCAGTCCCGGACCCAGAGGTGAGACCCGCCGGCTCCCGGCTGGCAGGTGAGACACGGTCGGTGCCCGCACCCAGCGGCAAGGCGCCATGGGCGCGCACTCAGGACGCTGGCAAACCTCTGGAACTGGACACCAGACACGACTTTGGACGACGTCAGAGGCTGGTGACCTATGAACCTGGTGAGACATCCGACCTTTTTCCAAAAGTATCCCTCCATAATGCATTGGGAGAGATGACAGAATGATTCGGCCCATTCGGCGTGATGGCTTACTTTGCCACGCAAAGTTCTCGCAGTACGTTTGGGGATGCGACGAAACCGTCAAAAACTAAGTAGATGCTAATTGGCATTCGGCTGTCAAAGGGTCGAAGCTGAGATGATGTCTCCTCGGCGGCTGCAAGTTTTTTACAGAAAAGCTTTAGTAAACGAATTAGGCTCATTATTTGCGAGTACTGCTAGTGTAAAATTCAGTTGACTTTCCCAGGGTGTATCCCAAACCCGGTTTGCCGTGATTTATTGGGCTAGAGCCACTGCGATACGATTAGATGTGAGACTTTCGCTACTCTCTTACTTCTTCGTGCCAAATGGTGGCAACGGGCAGATGGTGGTGACAGGGCAGATGGTGGTGACAGACAGATGGTGGCGATTGGGCAGACGGTGAGCGGGGACAGACCGCTGGAGGTCAATTCGTTCATCGTGTTGCTCGCCACATTTGCTCTAAAACTGAAAAACGAGATGCGACACAATAGGCGTTTTTCACGTTGATGTTCATTCCACTGGCACCTAAGTTGGTCCCGCCACATTCTATAGACAGCTGATTCTGACACATACGGATTTTTTTCTGAAACAGGCTAACTTATGGTTTTTCGTCAGACACATAAAAAGATTGGCAAACTTTACTTTGGAGGCGTCCTTTTTCCGTTATCACATGCAGTCCTTCCTTTTGCCGTTATGCATTTGGTCCCATGGCACCATATCAAGAAATACCACAAACGTGAAATCACGATTTGGGACATGTTGATATAACAAAAACCTCCGGCGTGAAAAGCTACAGCTTTTCTGATATCCATGCCCGTTAGCCACAGGTCCTTTTCTCGCTCATCCGGAACATTTCAGATTAGGTACCAGATAAGATCCCTAGTCAAATCCTTGGGTGAAAAGGGCTCATAAGGACATTCCATGTTCGCAAAAGCGCACCATTAAAGACGATAGGGCAGCACGTATCTTACCTGAGGTCCCACCTGGTCCCGTGCCAGAATTCCGACCTGGCTCCTGTTTTGCTAATTCCGCCCCAGATAGCCACGCACAACGCTCGGTGTCGGCGGGCGTGTCCGTGTGCTGCCGCTGCCTCCCCGTCGCCACCAGACGGCCGCCGACGCTGGTGTCGCCGGTGGCCTCCATTCTCTGGTCAAACGGGGACATCCTGCTCATGGCCGCGTGGTACCATTTTGGTATGCCGTGAGAAGTTAAGGAACAGCATTACGCGGCAATAGCCCCGGTAACGAAGAATCAGGCACCACCTGGTAGTTTTGGGTAGTCAATCTAGGCGAGACTTTGCCAAGCTAGATAGTTTTTTACCGGCAGGAGCGGTACAGGAGGGGGGAGGGTGAGAGTGTGTTATTGCCCCCTTAAATTGCATGAAGGTCCCTGTAGCCCAAACCAAAGTTTTTGGAGCTCACGTAAATTGCCAAAATTGAGCTCAAGGAGGCACCCTAACTGAGCTAGAGCATGCTAAATTGCGCTCAGAAGCCTATTTTATCATCAAAAGGTAAGTATTTGCGATCATGGCACCGCCTTTATAAATTATGTATCACCCGCTGTATATTAAAATGCCCAAAATAGTGTTGATGAGATCTTTCCCTGGCCCGGAAGGCCCCGTTATGAGCTAGGAGACCCCTTCTCTGGATGAGGAGGCACCCTTTACATATCACGGGGCCCTTTTCTGGAACAGGAGGCCCCTTTCGTGGAGCAGATGACCACAGCTCCGGATCAGGATGCTCTCTTTGGGGATAACGAGACCCTTGGTTGCGTTTGGAGGCCTCACTTGTGAATAGGATCAATCCTGTTCTGGATCAGGAGGCCCTCTGTGCAAACAGAGGCCATTTTCTAGAACAGGAAGCCTTTTGAGAAGGGGAGGCTCTTCTGGATCGAAAAGGCCCCTACATTGGCACAAGACTACTACTCTACATTTTCCTTTTGCCGATATTCATGTACATAGATATTGATGCACGTAACAATTTGGATGAGAGAGCATGTGTCATGGTGCCCCCAGCCCCTTGAATGTGACACTACCCGAGAGGCCCCCTGTGATTTGACCACGTTTCGTCCAGAAGGCTCGCTGGAAATCTTGCCCCTCCCCCAACTCAAAATCCGTAGTGCTACCTCTACTTCCCGCAGCAGTTCAGCAGCATCACTACGCATGATTTACCACTTGTCAGGGCACGGTAAAGGGGTGGCGAAGCAGGGCAACTCGCGTTGTTATAGCGAGGTAGTTTTCAGCGGGGACTGAGCTGGGATGACGCCAGTCCGGCGACAACCAACAACAGCTGTGCGTGCCGCCCGTCCACCGCCAACCTTGACCCGACGCGCGTGCGTGTGCTCGTCCGCAGGCGAGGACGGTCGTCCGGGCATTCCTGGAGCGAGAGGACCGGAGGGGCCAGCCGGCGGCATCGGTCTGCCCGGCCTGCCTGGTCCCGAGGGACTGCCCGGCGTCAAGGGCGACACGGGGCCGGCTGGACTGGACGGTCTGCCCGGTCCGATCGGCCCGCCCGGCCTGCCCGGCCAACGGGGCCCGGCCGGCCGGCCCGGCGCGCCCGGCGAGAAGGGCGTCTCCATCGAGGTACGCCGCAGCGGCCCGCCCGCCTCTCTCGCGGGGGCGCGGGCGCTGCCATCCGCGTGCAGGCGCAGCCGCTGCGTGCCGGCGGGGGTGACGGTGCTCTTGCTCGGGATGTCAACATATCTTGCAGCGTCATATCCTGTGCGAGTACGTAGAGCGCCAGTGCAAATGTCAGGAATGGAGCCAGGAGGTGAAAAGATGTGTACGTTCAGGGCTTTTGCGGCGAACCGAAATGCATTATCGTCAATGTTTGAGCAAATCGGCACATTTATATACAGAGGCGGCTCAGAATTATACATTCCGCATCCATAACGAACTCGATACTTGGTGATTATATATATATATATATATATATATATATATATATATATATATATATATATATATATATATATAACGAATATTTGAACATAGTGCATTCGAATCTCGAGAAAGGTATCTGTGTGCTGGCGTAGCGGACGGGTGCGCACAAAGGGTGGGCACCCACATGTGCCTGCTCACATGTAAGTACGAGCCTGATGTGAGATAGTTGATAGCGATGTTCGCGCGTGTCTGGTGTGCAGCGTGGAGCGTCGCTGTGCGCATGCGCCGGGCGCCGGTGACTGGCAGCCGACGGCGGCGGTGCCTTGAGCTGAGCCTTCGCCACCAGGGGGCGCCCGGTCTGGACGGCGCGCCCGGCCGCGACGGCCAGCCGGGTCAGAAGGGCGAGCGCGGCTACACGGGACCGCCGGGCGCGCCCGGCGACACCATTGACGGCATCCCAGGCCGGACCGGTCTGCCCGGCCGGCCGGGGGAGAAGGGTCGCGACGGCCAGTCGGGCCGGCCTGGCATCCCCGGCTTGCCCGGCTTCAAGGGCGAGGCCGGCCGCCAGTGCGACCAGTGCCTGCAGTGTCCGGTCGGCGAGAAGGGTGAGCCGGGCCTGGACGGCCTGCCCGGGCCGGCTGGCCTGCGTGGACCGGAGGGCCCGCCGGGCCTGGCCGGAGCGCCCGGCGAGGATGGATTGCCAGGACCCATGGGACTCCCCGGCAAGGAGGTGAGGAGAGGGTCGCGCCACAGCCCGGCCGTCTAACATGTACCGGTATTGAGCTACTTTTGGGGTACCGTTTGTGCTTTTGGAAGAAGACATTGCTTGGGTTGAGTGCTGGCTTAACTGCGCGTTCGAATGTGCACACGGTGGAGAAGTGAGGGAAAAGCACAGATCGTTTACGATGCAGCTATGTGACGGTGACCTTCGGGGTGCGACCAGTACCGCTAACACCCCTCCCTCTACTCGCCCAGGGTGAATCAGGCGTCCCCGGCCTGGCAGGCCTGAAGGGAGCTAAGGGCGAAGACGCCTTCGTGCCGCCGGATTTGATTCGTGGCCCCAAGGGCGCCAAGGGTGACAGGGGCCTGCCCGGCCTGCCGGGCCAGGAGGGCCGGCCGGGCCAGTCGGGCCGCCCCGGCCAACCGGGCCCGTCCGGCTTGCCCGGCGTCAAGGGTGACAAGGGCAGCCGCGGCTTCCCGGGCGACCGCGGTCGTGACGGCATACCGGGCGCGGACGGTCTGCCCGGCCTGAGCATCAAGGGCGAGCCGGGCCAGCCCGGCGACAGCGGCCAGCCTGGACTGCCCGGCAGGCAGGGACTGCCCGGCCGCAAGGGCGAGCCAGGTACGGTCTCCTCCAGCCGAGCCTTCCTGCCGCCTGGCTTGTGACTCGAATAGCTTTGTGCGCTCATTCTGGTTAGTGATTTGTGCTCTCATACCCTGTACTGCACTGTTGCTTACGACGTCCCGATTATTTGGTATGCGTACTGTCGACAAGAGTCCTACATTGGGGTCAGAAAACGCTAACCAGTGTTTTTATGTGGCTCTTGTTTCCTTCGCCACTGATGGATGAAGGTGTAGTGTCATTACTGTGCATTGCTATCCTCGCGCAGAATGGCCTGAGGCGCAGGGACGGTTCAGTGATTGACCGCCGCCCGCATTTCAGGCCGATTTGACACGGCAGCGCCGCAAACGATCGGACCGAAGGGCCGCAAGGGCGAGCGAGGCTTCGACGGACCGCCCGGCCTTCCCGGCCTGAAGGGCGACAAGGGCGAGCGCGGTCTGACTGGCAGGGACGGTGAACCGGGTCCGGCCGGGCCGGCCGGGCCGCGCGGCCCACGCGGTCTGCCCGGGCCCCGCGGCGAGAAGGGCGTACTGGGGCCGGACGGCTCGTCCGGCCGGCCCGGCCAGGACGGCCTGCCCGGTCTGGCCGGCGAACCGGGCGAGCGCGGCTTCAAGGGCGAAGCCGGCCTGCCTATGCCCGGTCCACCCGGTCAGCCAGGACTGCCCGGCCGCAAGGGCGAGACGGGCCCCTCCGGTGGGTCCGGTCTGCCCGGCCAGCCGGGCGACGCTGGTCCGCCCGGCTTCCCCGGCCTGAAGGGCGACGCTGGCGTCCCCGGATTGTCTGGCCTGCCCGGACTGGACGGCGAGAAGGGCAACCCTGGATTCCCGGGCCCGGAGGGCACGCAGGGAGTGGCCGGACCACCCGGCAGCGACGGACCTAAAGGTGCGTCACTCTTCTGGCCATTCGATGTCGTGTGATTTTGATAGCCGTTGCTGGATTCGGCGTTCATCCGACGTAGGCCGTGGCGTGTTGTCTCCTGACCCTGATAGTCTTTTAATGCTCCACACCGCAGCGTCCGGACGCTGCACCGGCGGGCCGCTGTGCCGGGCACGTGTGCTGCTGCGCGCCCTTAGACTGCAGTCCCTGGTGTCAGATGTTAGCCTCCCGGTGGGTGCTACCCTGGCCTGCTGTGATGTCTGCGCCTTACTGTGCTGCAGGCGAGCCCGGGCTGAGGGGTGACGACGGCCGGCCGGGCCTGCCCGGCTTCCCCGGACCGAAGGGCCAGGCAGGTCAGCCTGGACTGCCCGGCATAAAGGGTCTGCCCGGCCGCGACGGCCTGGACGGCGCCTCCGGTCTGCCAGGACAGGATGGACTGCCCGGGCTGCCCGGAACGAAGGGCGAAGCCGGCTTCCCGGGTCCGGTCGGACCAGCCGGAGAGCCGGGCCAGCCGGGTCTGGACGGCCTGCCAGGCATCAAGGGTGACCCGGGCCGGTCCGGCCTGCCCGGCCAGCCCGGCCAGCGCGGCCTGCCCGGCAGCAAGGGCGAGATGGGTCTGCCCGGCTTCCCCGGGGCCAAGGGCGTGCCTGGACGCGTCTCCGAGAAGGGCGAGCGTGGCGTGCGCGGCCTGCCGGGCGCGCGCGGCCCGCCCGGCCTCGATGGTCTGCCCGGCGGCCCCGGACGCGACGGCGACAAGGGCAACGCGGGCTTTGGCACGCCAGGCCTGCCGGGCCTAAAGGGCGAGCGCGGACCGCAGGGTCTGCCTGGCCTGGACGGCAGACCCGGGCAGAAGGGAGACGCCGGGCTGCCCGGCTTCCCCGGACAGAAGGGAGATCGCGTAAGTCAAGCTGGAACTTGCAGCGTTTTGATTCCCTGCATGCGTGTCTTTCCCGATCTCCCGCATCGCGTCTAGCCGCGTTACAGCCCCTGACCGCAGTCTGTCACGTGATACGCTGGGTACCTTTTCAAGCGGCCGAATTCCGGAGAGGAGTCAGGTTTTGGGATCGGCCTTTTCGATTGAGCCCCCTCCCGAACTGATTTTAGAGTAACACCCCTGGCTGCTACCCACTCCATCGGCCACCGGAAGTCTTCAATGCCTCCACCCCGGTGGTTCCCATTCACAAAGGGCGCTTCGCAGCTGCGAGAGATGGGTGGTGCCTGTTTTCCTGCTGCGCGCAAGTGCACACTGCCGCGACTGCACCCTAGTGCGACTGTACTCCACGAGACTGTACCCCAGTGCCACTGTGCCCCAGCGCCACTGCACCTCAGCTTGACTGCACCTCAGCGCGACTGCACCTCAGCTCGACTGCACCCCAGCGCCACTGCACCCCAACTTGACTGCACCCCAGCGCGACTGCACCCCAGCGCCACTGCACCTCAGCTTGACTGCACCTCAGCTCGACTGCACCCCAGCGCCACTGCACCCCAACTTGACTGCACCCCAGCGCGACTGCACCCCAGCGCCACTGCACCCCAACTTGACTGCACCTCAGCTCGACTGCACCCCAGCGCCACTGCACCCCAACTTGACTGCACCCCAGCGCGACTGTTCCTCAGCGTGACGACACCGGTCTCGTGCCGACAGGGCTTGGACGGACAGCCAGGAACGCCCGGAGCGCCTGGCCTGGACGGCGCGCCGGGCTTGAAGGGGGAGGGAGGACCGGCCGGCCTGCCCGGTCGTCCCGGCCTGCCCGGCCTCAAGGGCGGCATCGGCTTCCCCGGACTGGATGGAGAGAAGGGCGAGCCCGGGCCAGAGGGTGAGAGACGACGCTGCGCTCGCGGTCGACAGCGAGCCCGTGCCAGGCGGCGCGGGTGTCGAGCGCACGGGCTGTCGAGGAGTAGATCCGTCACCGCCCGCATGCTGTACGTGAGCATGCCAGTCAAACAGTTCCGCCGCGCCTCTTAAGTTTGGCATCGTGGCCAGGCGTCGCCGCTCGGCTGAGTGCCGTGATTCGCCTTACCGATGTTTCACCGAGACCGGCTCACGATTGGCACTGCCGCGCTATCAGCGGCCGATGGCGCACGGGAGTAGAGTTTACGGGGGCGTCTGCGGCTGACGTGCGGACGGCCTTCCCAGGACCCAGTGGCTGACATGCTGACGGCCTTCCCAGGACCCAGTGGCCAGCCGGGTCTGCCCGGACTGGACGGCGCGAAGGGAGAGGCTGGCCTTCCCGGACAGCCGGGCGTGCCCGGTTTGAAGGGAGGCCGTGGTCTGGACGGCCTCAAGGGCCAGACGGGCGAGCCGGGCTTCCCCGGTCCTGCCGGACCGCTGGGGCCGGCGGGCGACAAGGGTGACCGCGGCTTCCCCGGTCCGCGCGGCCTGCCCGGCCTGGATGGTCTGCCGGGCCAGAAGGGCGAGGTGGGACCAGTGGGACCAGAGGGCCTGCCAGGCTTCGGCGTCAAGGGCGAAAAGGGCCTGCCCGGACAACCCGGCAACAACGGACGGCCCGGCCCCGAGGGCCCGTCGGGCCCCAAGGGCGACAAAGGCTTCGTGGGCCTGCCGGGCCTGCGCGGCCTGCCCGGCCAGCCTGGACCAGTGGGACCGCAGGGCGAGAAGGGTGACTCGGGCCTGCCCGGTCTGCCCGGCCAGGACGGCGAGGACGGCCGGCCCGGCCAGACCGGCTTCCCTGGCCCGTCCGGCTTGCCCGGCCTGAAGGGAGACCGCGGCCTGCCCGGCACGCCCGGCGCGTCAGGACTCAAGGGCGCCATCGGACCGCCAGGTGAGTGCTGGTGCAGCTGCCCCCTCCCCCCTCCCCCACCGCCGCCCGAGCGTCAGCGGCTCAGCACCGGGAAAGGACGGTCGTGTTTGTACTTCAGATGCCAGCACTGGTCAGTTCGCTGTCTGGTGTTACTAATGTGCTCATAGGATCTCCGTCTGGACATTGAAACAACTGGGACTTAGCCCAGGTATGAATCTAGTCCGCTAAGGTCGAAAATCCGGTGACTGGCGCCTGGTGCCGGTTTTCACTCACGCCCGGTTCATGACGCAGCTAAGCATCACCCGAAAACGCTCCACGCTGAGAAACGGGGCTTCCTGTCTTAATCCCGAGCCGCTGACCGGTGGCGCTGACGTCCGTAGGAACCAACGGCCAGGACGGCCGGCCCGGACAGCCTGGCGATAAGGGCGACTCGGGCCTGCCCGGTCTGCCCGGCCAGCCCGGCTCTCCCGGTCTGCGGGGCGACGACGGCCTGCCGGGTCCGGCCGGTCCCGTCGGCCCGCCGGGTCTCGACGGCCTGAAGGGCGAGCCGGCCCGCGACGGACTGCCCGGCCAGAAGGGAGAGATGGGCCTGCGTGGTCTGCCCGGCCGCGACGGCCCGCCCGGCCTGCCTGGCCAGGACGGCCCCGCCGGCCTGCCTGGTCAGAAGGGCGAGTTGGGCCGGCCCGGACTGGACGGCCTGCCCGGACTGCCCGGACCGCAGGGACAGAAGGGAAATCCAGGAATGGAGGGACTTAGAGGATTTGAGGTGAGGAACCCGACCCCAGTCATTGAGTTAGTAAGATATCATACTGGATTCGTACATCGTGTGTTTCCCAGCGGCACAATTAGGACTTTGACGCAGAGAAGGGCGGAAATCGAGGAGTGTGCATCATGCCGAACTTTAGTTTGCTATCGTAAAAAATATAGGCCTAAAGAGGGTTGTCGATCCGCCTCCCCCATCCTCCTTTGGCTGCGCTCATCGTGTTTCCAACCACGCAATTGCTTCAGCCTTTGTATCTCGCCTCGGTTTGCGAAGCGCCGCAACGCAACGGCAGCGTAAGGGCCGGTCGGTCGTTGACGCTCCGGCGGTGACCGTCCGCCCAGTGCCGCCCTACCGGCCCGTCCTCCGATGGCGACCGCCCGCCGACCCGCACTACAGCGGTGACCGTCCGCCCAGTGTCGCCCTACCGGCCCGCCCTCCGGTGGTGACCGCCCGCCGACCCGCACTACAGCGGTGACCGTCCGCCCAGTGCCGCCCTACCGACCCGCACTCCGGTGGTGACGCCCGCCGACCCGCACTACAGCGGTGACCGTCCGCCGACCCGCACTCCGGCGGTGACCGCCCGCCGACCCGCACTACGGCGGTGACCGTCCGCCCCGTGTCGCCCTACTGGCCCGCCCTCGGGTGGTGACCGCCCGCCGACCCGCACTGCAGCGGTGACCGTCCGCCCAGTGCCGCCCTACCGGCCCGCACTCCGGTAGTGACTGCCCGCCGACCCGCACTACAGCGGTGACCGTCCGTCCCGTGCCGTCCGCCGACCCGCGCAGCCGCGGCTGCTGACGCGCGCCTCCTGCCGCAGGGCAACCCAGGCCCGCAGGGCGTCAAGGGCGCCATGGGCCGCCCGTGTACGGCGGCGCCCGACTACCTGACCGGTATCCTGCTGGTGCGGCACAGCCAGACGGCAAGTGTGCCGCAGTGTGAGGCGGGTCACACTGAGCTCTGGCAGGGCTATTCGCTCCTCTACATCGAGGGCAACGAGAAGGCTCACCACCAGGACCTGGGTACGTACAAGTGACAGGGGAGGGGCTGCTGGGGTTGGGGGCGACGCCCCTGCTGGCGCCGCAGCAGCCTGTTCAAAGTGGAATCGGACCAAACGGATACCGTTGAATGGTGTTGGCTGCGGTTGTGATAAAAGGGTGGCCTGATTTAACGTGGATAAAGTCAGTTGTCCACGTTGATTTTCCATGTGAAACAGAACGGGGCGCGGACCTGCGCTCCAATGCCCGCCGCTCGTTGTCACTGGACAAAGCGTTAAGCGACGGACTATCACCGCGACAGCGACAGGTGCCAGGCGGACTTTTAGAGATGCCACAGTGTGCCACGGGTCTGTTGGGGATCTCGCACGCCTGTCACGCGCTCGGGGTCCTGGCCCACCCCCGTGCCGAGCTCCGCTGGCAGCCGAGATTCGGACGGCGCTGGTGCCGCCGGTCCGCTAACGCCGGCCCTCCAACCGCGCAGGCTTCGCCGGCTCCTGCGTGCGCCGCTTCAGCACCATGCCCTTCATGTTCTGCGACATGAACAACGTCTGCAACTACGCCAGCCGCAACGACAAGTCCTACTGGCTGTCGACCAACGCGCCCATCCCGATGATGCCTGTGGCGGACACCGCCATTCGTCAGTACATCTCCAGGTCAGATGGCGGGACATCCGGTCGCGCGGACGTAAGGCGGAAGGTCTCGATCGAGGTGGAGGGTCCACCAGGCGTCTTCGATCCAGAACTCGCCAAGCTCTGAGCGTGGGACTGTCACACGTGATGATAGTGTTGGCAAACTTAGTGTCAGAAGTCATGACGCTTTGGAATGCTTCGCGTTGATTACTACTCGTAGGACGAGGGAGTGTTTGTGCCGCGTGCTGCAGGCTGTCGGCGGCGCGATGCGTGCACGTGGCCGTTGTCCCATTTAAGCAGCGTAGCGAGTCGGCCCGCCGGCGGGCACCGCGCGCATCGTCTGCGACCGCGCCTCTGCCAGGCGCTGGGAGTGCCCCTGAGCGGCGCGGTGTCCCTGTTCCAGATGCGTGGTCTGCGAGGCGCCGGCGAACGTGATCGCCGTACACAGCCAGTCGCTCAACATTCCCGAGTGTCCGTTCGGCTGGAGCGGCCTCTGGATCGGATTCTCGTTCGCCATGGTAAGCTGCCCGGACGTTCGCCGTGCCCGTCCGCTGGACTCGGGGTCTCGGCCGGGGGCGGGGGATGATTTACATGGCTCTTTTATCAATAAGATCTGACGTTACACGCGGTGCTGCAGCGCATCCTCTGGCGAAGCTAACACACCACGAGCTGACGTTATTCACCTGAAAGTAACGTCTGAGGCACGCGATAGCGACAATATGCGCGAAGTCGCCTAGCGCGTCACTGGACCTGAACGCGCACGCAAGCAGTCTCCGCTCGTGCCCCCGAAGACATGACACGCTAAGCGGCTGTGGCGTGTCGTGGTGTGTTGTGCGCGCCCGCGTTCGCCCGCCTGCTAAACGGTCCCTGGGCCGCCCGCAGCACACGGCGGCCGGCGCCGAGGGTGGCGGCCAGTCGCTCTCCTCGCCCGGCTCCTGTCTGGAGGACTTCCGCGCCACACCCTTCATCGAGTGCAACGGCGCGCGCGGAACGTGCCACTACTTCGCCAACAAATTCTCCTTCTGGCTGGCCACCATCAACGACCCGGACCAGTTCAACCGGCCGCGCAGCGAAACCCTGAAGTCGGGCAACTTGCGCTCGCGTGTGTCGCGCTGCCAGGTCTGCATCAAGATCACGTAGATCTTTTTGTGATATTTTCTAGTGAATGTGGTCTTGATGTGGGCTTGTACAAAGCAGTGCTTGTCCGGGCCGCGCCGGTGCGCGCGCCGCCGCTGGAACGCTGAACCATGGTGCTACTTGTCAAGTCTCGCGGGTCGCGGCGCCACGGCGCTCGTCGGGGAGCCATCACTGCCAGTCTGACGTGGAATGTCGCGCGCGCGGCCCGGCGGCGCGCCGGCCCGGCCGCAGCACGGCCGAGGGCGCTACCGGGCCGGGCCGCCGCCGCCGCGAGACGCCACCGTCGCCGGGCGTCGAGCGATCCGCCCAACCTCGAGCGACGCACAGACGCGCTTGGTTCGGGCCGCGCCGTCTCCGGCATTCGACGTAGACACGAGCTTATGTATCTGTTCAACACTGCCAGTTCTGAAATCACGTAAATTTTGAACGCTTAGAGGACCCCGGGGTCCTTATAGAAGTACTGCCAAGTGCCAGCGAGATTCGGAATGTACCGCGACTTAGACTAATCCTGAGAGGGCGCAGGGAGACGACTGTCGCGTAACTGTTGCGTATTAGGCGAGAGTGGCGACTGATGGTTGGACCTGCGCGTCAACCAGATCTGTCGAGAGCTTTTATCATTCAGATCAATAAAAGAGGCCCAAATTCCAGACCTGTCTGCTAAAGGAGCGGGTCGGAAAATTCGTTCCAATAAAATCAGGGTATATTCCCTCGACGCGGATACCACGGCGAAACATAGGAGATAGGACCACGTGTGTCCGTCGTCAGATACACGTGGAATACACGCTAGGTATAAACTGGGCGAATAAAGCATCTCGATACCACAGTGGAACAGGTGTGCACAGTCCCGTCGTAAAACGGAAACCATGACGGACAATCGGCGAATATAACTGAGATATAACAGCCAGGAAACATCAACTGCTTGCTATTACGATTCAAATAAACAAAACAAATAGCTGTGATATGTGCGATTGGGATCACTGTCTTAATGGAACGCCGTCGTTGGTCAACACGCTCTGAGGCCAGAGCCTGCCGGCCGACCTTCCCACGGCTACCTCCACCGGGCGGACTTCCTCTCAGCTACCCCCCGCAGGGCGGACCTCCTCTCAGCTACCCCCCGCAGGGCGAACCTCCCGCCACGGCCGCCACCACTGGGCGGACCTGCCACGGCCACCTCCGCCGCGCGGACCACCTCACGGCGGCGCCTCAGGCTCCTCGGCCAGTTCTGGGAATAGCTCGAGCACGATCCGGTCCAACAACACGTACGCCAGCTGCTTGTTGAGCTGCGGCAGCTGCAGGCAGGAGAAGAGCGCTCGCGTACCGTCCTCAAAATGGGCGCCGAGCGCCAGCGCCAGCGGCGTCGGCACGGCCGCGCGCAGCGCCACCAGCGTCCGCTCGGCGCGCGCCGCCTTCTCGGCGTCGGTGCGCGGCGCGGCGCGCGCCGTGAGTAGGGCCTCTTGCGCCAGCGCCGCCAGGCGCGCCCAGCGTACCGGCGGTGCCAGCGCCTCAGCCAGCGCGGCGGCTAGCAGCCGGTCGGCCAACGCGTCGGCAGAGCTGCGCAACAGCGGCCGCGCGCCCAGCAGCAGCGCCAGCAGCCAGCGCGGCGCCTCGAACAATCGGCATGCGAGGAAGGCGAGCGTGTCGTACAGGCCACTCAGTCGGCACTCGGCGGCCGGCCGCGGCACTGTGTGGGGCCGGCGCGCGCCGTCCTCGCGCGCTCTGCCGCCGCCGCGCCGCGCCGCCAGCACCGGCTCCGGCTCGGCCCAGTCGGCGCGCGCGCGCGGCCGCGCCACCGCCGGCGGCTCGGTCGACGCCACGAACGCCGCCAGGAAGGCGTCCAGGTTCTGGCCGCGCTCCTTGCGGAACTTGCGCGGCACCGTGCGGATCATGCGGCCGATGTTGATGTCCTGCTGGAAGTCGTCGACGAACATCTGGTCGGAGGAGAGGAAGGCGCACACGAGCTGGGAGCTGTTGAGGCCGGGCACCTGCACCAGCCGGCGGAGGAACGAGACGAACATCTCCTTGCGGCAGTCGAGGAAGTCCTGCGTATAGAAGCTGGCCGACACCAGGTTCTGTTTGAGCGGCAGCCGCACGTCGCCCAGGTCGCCGTGAAACTCCATCAACTTCTTCTCCAACACGTAGAACTCGTTGAGCTTGCGCGCCATCTGCCACTGGTGGGCGTCGCGCTCGCCGCCCGGCTCCGGCCGGCTCACCTCCAGCACAAACACGATCGTTTGCTTGCCGCTGAAGTCGGGCGCCATCGACACGCGCGGGATGGCGATCGTCCACGCGGACAGATCGCAGGCGGTGGCGGCGCTCGGCTCCGCGCCCAGCTCGTCCTCGTCCTCATCCGGCACGAACTCCTCGCCCAGCTCGAACTGCTCGTCCGGGCGGCCGTCGACAGCGCTCGGTCGCAGCGCGTCGCGCAGCCGGCGGCCCCACCGCGCCACAGCCGTCACCGACCGGAACACGCGGCTGCGCCCGGCCGCGCCTGCGCCGGCCGACTGCCGCCGGCACACGTGGCGCAGGTAGTGGCCGCTGCTCAGGAAGTCTATCATGCACTCCTGTTCCAGCCGGTTGTACGCCTGTTCGTATGCCTCGAAGAGCGCCTTCATGCGACGCAGGCGCGTGACATCCTCGACGCGGCCGCACAGCACTTCGTGCACCTGCGCGCAGACGGCGGCGTCGGCGCCCACGAAGTCGGGCGACTCCGGCCGCAAGAAGGAGTTGTAGATGTGCGACGCCTCCGTGTACAGGTTTCGCAGCTGCTCGTCGCTGAGCTCCGGGTTCAGCATGCGCTGGTTGAACTCCTCGACGGCCAGGCAGAACTGCACCAGGTGCAGATCGCCACGCTCCTTCAGACACTGCATCAGCGCGTACAGCAGATCGGCCGACTTGAGCACGCCCGAGAGGTCGACGGCCAGCGCCGAACTGGGCCGCGGCCGGCCGGCCAGCGTCCAAGCGCGCAGCAGCTCCACCGGCGGCGAGCTGTCGGCCGGGCACGGCTCCAGCGGCTCCGGCGAGAACAGCAGCAGCAACAGCTGGTTGACCGTGTCCGGGTCAGCCACCAGGTCCAGCAGAGGCAGCAGCAGGGTGCGTGCCAGCAGCTCGCGCAGCAGCGCGCCAGCGGCGGCGCCGCGGCACGACCGGCCGGCCAGCAGCAGCGGCGCCAGCCGGCCGGCCAGGCAGCGCAAGTAGCGGCCCTCCGAGAGCACAGCCGCGTGCGCGTCGCGGCCGTAGTAATCCCAGGCGGCCTCGTCGGACAGCGAGCCGGACCGGTGCAGCCGGCGCGCCAACACACAGCAGTCGACGTGGCAGACGCCCGGCCGGAATCAGCCGCTGCAGAATGAGCTCCGACAGGTCGAGGCGTCGCGCGCGCCGGGCCAGCTCGACGCACGCGCAGCGCACCAGCTCGCGCACCTCGTGCAGGAAGGCTGGGTCGCCGCTGACCTCGCGCGTCCACGGCGCCAGATACTCGCCGAGCACGCTGTCCAGCAGCCGCTCCAGCGCCGCGTCGACCGTCTGCGGCACTAGCAGCATGTTGGTCGGCCGCTGGGCGGTGCTGGCGGCGGACCGCGGCGCCAGCAGGCTGGAAATGGGCCTGCCACGTCGCTCCAGGGCATTGGCCAGTAGCACGCCCAGCAGCGCTGATGCGGCCAGCGCGGCAAGCAGGAACAACAGCATGATGGCTGGCAGCAGACCCTTGCCAGCTGTCTACTCACCACCTGTAAATACAGATGGAAAAGTGCATTGCTTCGATTCATGACTGGAGAAATCCTTTATAACAACAGTACAATTGTGTTATACAGCCCTCTCTTGAATGAATAAACATTTCAACTAACTTCAAAAGTGCCTAAAGAGTTTTGAAACCGGTGTTCTGAAAATGGTGGAGAAAAAACAACAGGAAAAAAGGGCTAACAGGCATATAACTGAAACACATTACACCATATTATCACAAAGTACCTATATCCTAAATGTATATGCCAGTATAACAAGGAAACACAACACAATGCAGCAAGCACAACAGGTGCAAGGCATTCAAGCTTAATGGCATCCAAAGCCTGCCTGAATCAATTTGAAAAGTCACAACTCAAACGTCTATATAAACATCTTATTTGACCTTGCGTTTTCTAATGTTGGGCCTGCAAACAAGATGTTTGCCTTTATGCGCAGAGTAGACATGTTTACAACCCCAGCATTTAGGCAGATAGTACAAGGAGGGACGAAAATGAACAGATGACTGACCAAAATTATATATATATATATATATATATATATATATATATATTGAAACAGATGCATATATTAAAATATGCACAGATGACTGAATATATAAAAAGATGGACAGATGACTGATTGTGTAGCTTAGCAGTTCGACCAGGCCCGGCCAAACCAGTAACACCTTTAATGGGGTTGTCTTTGCAACAACCGATCTCTGCACTAGTACAATTACTTGTGGCACAATCGCTTGAGGAATATTTCACATGGCCGCAATATCACCAGTATTTCATATTTCTCTTCCATCAACATGTTAAACCATATAGCATTCAATTAACAAAAAAGTTGGTCACTGTGGGTAGGAATTACATGCAGATCATGGCCAACAGGCGTCCCATCGACAGAAGACTTAACAGGTTCTGGCAGGGGACTGGATAATCATATGGGCGAAGGTGTGGGCCAATGCGTGCAGCTCGTGCAATCGTGGATCAGGCATGGGTCCGCCGGTCGCTGTCAATTTTAGGGATCCACGTCAGGTCTGGGAAACCAAAGCAGGTAGAGATATCAAACCAGGGGTGCAAAGAGGGTGAGCTGACCATCTAAGAATCCTTCAGCGATCATGACACTGTCCTACCTACCCATACACACCCCAGTAAAGACACTGTATTACCCATACACCCCCCAGTTGCGACACTGTTCTACCCATACGTGCCCCAGTAGCGACGCCATTCTACCTGTAAATGCCCTAGCAATACACAGGGACGTCAACATGACTCGTCCCAAAACCAGCCTCAAATACAACATGCTGTAACAGGTCAGGATAGATCAAACCATACAGCGTCATAGGTATGTGGCGCAGCTCAACACAACTAACAGATTTTAAAGATTTAGTCTGAACTCTTTCCATTTTCAGCTGTTATGGTGGCACAGATATCAAAATTTTTCACCCTCTCACACCTCAGGTTTGGGATTCACTACCTGTTGCTCCAGCTCTCACTCAGGATTGGCCAATAAGCAGCAAGCTGGATAGGATTCAACCTTGTATCTAGGCTCTTCAGACTTGGCAAATCAGCTGGGTAGGTCACATGTCAGGGTTCTTGGTGTGGCAACAAATTAGCAGCAAACAAATTGTGCATCTGGAAGCTGCTAGGAAGTCAGAAGTCCGGCAGCATGATGTTATATTTAACAATTCACACCAACCTGGATGAGATTTAAAACACTACCACCATTGAGTGTGAAACTTAATGTCAATAGTACATAATAAAGCAGAAGTTAAATATGTTATAATGTTTTGCAAGGTCTGTCCTATCCTCTGATGTAATGTGACCTCCAATGTCCACTGACATTGGCTGCTAGTCTTGTCAGGGTAAATAGAAAGCACTGGGTCACTACAAACTGGGCTGTCATGACTATCCACATGTATCCAAAATATTAAAATGTCTCCATTCTTTCACCAATCAGCAAAAACAATCATTGTTTCAAGCTTATGCATGCCATCCGTATAAATGTTATACCTCGACAGGTCTATGACCAGCCAATTTTTTGCTATCTTCACCTTGTGGATGGCCATCAAATAATGACACACTTTGACCAGCTGACTTAAAACAATAGAACCTTCCACTGCATTGATAGCTCCTATCCATATGGGTTCCCATATACAAGAGCCTCCATTTTCTCAGTCTCAGGTATCATCTGCACTGTGATAATCATGCGTGTTAGCATCTCATTCATCATACATCACAAAGTCTTTTGCTAGAGTGGTACTGACAACAGATTTCCAAGCAACTTACCATAATATATTCAATCCCATTTCTTCACTGCTGGGATTTAATAGTAAAAAATAATCACCCCTCCCTGCCTTGTAAAAAGTGGAAAGACTACTTCACAACAAAAATAATCACCCCTTCCTGCCTTGTAAAAAGTGGAATGATTACTTCACAACATAGTCACAGCATAACTATTTGTGGAAACCAATTTTGCTTGCTTCCATCTGTTACCATACATGACCTTTGACTTTTGCCAAACAAGAGTACACAAACATCCAGCTTTTGCCATTCAAAGCATTTAAAACATAAAACATCAAGCACATACTGATGTAGATGGAAAAACACATACAGCCTCTTTTCAATCATATCAGGCCTTGTTTTCAATCTTATCAGGCTGCCAATATACATCATTGAAGAGTATGTGGGTACCCAACTCTGAGCAGTTGTAACATGCCAAATTTGAAGTATTTCTGGAGATCTAAACACAAGATTCAATGGTCTAGTTTGAATGGATCACATTCAGAGCAGTCTGGCGCACACAGGCTTAAACTCAGCCCTTCCACCATCAACCAGCTGCCACCATTTAATATCAAACATTGCCTACCTATGCATGGGGGCCAGCAACAGACATCGGCCGTTAAATGACAGCCTTCTTGATGGATCCTGAGAAGACCCACCATGGAGCTCCCCGAGATCGCGTCATCACATGGATCGTAACTCCAAGAACAGGACTGGTCGGGCGGAAGCCCTCGAATGAGCAACAGCGTCCTTCACTTGTTACGCGTATTACCTTACGCAATGAGTGCTAGAGAAAAATTGGGTGCGCCATTGAATGTCCAAGCCACGCCAGATGCGTATTCTTTTTTGTTGGCACCTATTGTCACCCCAACAGCTGGTCCCCGATCACGCGCGGGCGACCTCTAGTGAGTCAGGTATGTGGGCGGCGGCTATGGCGGAGATTGGTGCGGGACCGGCCGAATACATGTGTACAAATTGTATCCTCCTCTTAACTTCTTAGTGGACTGCTGCTACTCAATCAAGGGACCTTACTCTCCGGCATTCTGCCCCGTCGGCAAAATAAGCCTGTCCAAAGGCGTAGTTCCACATGACTTGAGGGGGGCGGAGTTCAGAGTAGTGGAGAGCGGTCCAACCTACCCCAAGCTATGCCAATAAACTGGTTTCGCTTTGAATTTGTCCCACTTTTGCTGCTAACTTACGGGGGGGGGGGTAGAAGTTGGGGGAGGAGGCCTGGATACGCAGTCGAACAGGAACTACACCCCTCTTACTGACAGCATAAGAAAATCAAGCAAGACCAGCCCACTGTGGTTCACACAAATATCGTTCGTAGATCACTTGTCTACGGCGTTGGGAGGGGGGCTAGGCGACTGCTTCCGACAGCCAGACTCCTCTGCAATAGCCCTGCCCGTAACTAGTGATTTACTAATCGGAAAAACCCATTCATGCTTAAATGGGCGATAATTGACCCGATTGGTCTCAGTGAGGGCCTGTGTGATTCTGACGTATGCCCTGAATCTGCTTGTCGCTAGCTTCCTATCGCCTACATGTGTTTCGTTGCTGTTGGCCTTTACGGCAGTGTAGGACGATGCAGTACAAATAAGATTCACGTCCTTACCTCAGCAAAAGGCGGCATAAGAGTTTGTCATGCGCCAACGCACTAAACTTGGCACGCTTGGGCCACGATGTATTATTTCACCTCAAAACGTTCAACCAGACTCATATAAAACGAAAGCCATCAACGATTTCATTAGCCTTAGTGCCAACGTCCCGCTCAAACCCGGGTGGGGAGACATATTAATGTGATGCAGCAGACATCAGATGATAATGGTGAGAGCTCACCCTGCCGATGAACGTTTCCGAAGTGGCTCCAGCAGAGTATTGCACAGCTCATGTAATTGTTTTTTTTTGGGGGGGGGGCGCATGAAAACAATCGAACATGCACGTATATTTTCGGAAAGACGCACACCAATCAAACCCGATTGCAGACATCAAATGAGAGAAACCAACCAAGTTTTCATCAGACCACGGCATTTAAAACGGCAGCTTTTACGCGAGTACGCGATGAGTCTGCCCACCACAAAGCTGAATATGTGCACGTCTGAGCAACTTACTTACAGACAAGCACATCAGGGACTCAGCGGCTGTGGGCCCCATTCGCGCAGCCGAATCCACATTATCACAGCCGAAATTTATCACCCCAGACACCAGCCTCCCTGGGGCGGACAGTTCGCCGCCAGGCGGCCGCCGGGCCCAGCGGCGCCGCTGGCACTGAGCACGGCCGAGACACCGGAGGGCACGACTGGGGCGCGGCGCCGCCGGTCACCGCGGCAGCACCCGGGACGCCGGCTCTCCGCCGGGGACGACGCCAGCCCAATCACGAGATGGACCGAGCCGAGAGTGCCTCTTGGGCTCGCCCACTCAGGGGCAGTCAGGGCCGGCCGGCTGCGGCTCGGTCGCGTCCGTGCGGCAGTACACCAGAGTGTCCTTCCCCAGCAGCAGCAGGGTGGACTCGTCCGGCCACATCAGCTGCAACGAAGGACAGGCCTTGACGGCAACGGTCGCCCACCAGCTCCCCTCATGGGGTTAGAAATCGTCATGTTGGAAACAGAGGTGTGCGTTGAAAAAAAGAACTATCCCAACAATCCATCGCGCCGGCCATACGGATTCAACGATATCATTTCGCACTTCAGACCACAACCAAATCAGATCGCCTGAAACAACGCACCGCTTGTCCCCGACCAGTGACTGCTGGCTAGAGTGGCAGCCCAGCAGTGCGGACGGCGCGACCCACCCACCTGCGTGACGAGAACATCGGCCGGCAGGCGGCAGGTGCTGGCCTGGTCCGGGCTCCACAGGTAGAGGTAGCGCGAGCCGGCGCACACCGCCAGGCGCGAGCCGCTCGGCTCCCACACCAGGTCTGGCCAGGGCACACGGCTGGCTCATCACATACACACGGGCATCATACACACGGGCGTCCATGTCACAGGCAGATTATGGGACCAGTGGCACGGCTCCCACATCAGGTCTGGCCAGGGCACACGGCTGGCTCATCACATACACACGGGCACCATACACACGGGCGTCCATGTCACAGGCAGATTATGGGACCAGTGGCACGGCTCCCACATCAGGTCTGGCCAGGGCACACGGCTGGCTCATCACATGCACACGGGCATCATACACACGGGCGTCCATGTCACAGGCAGATTATGGGACCAGTGGCACGGCTCCCACATCAGGTCTGGCCAGGGCACACGGCTGGCTCATCACATGCACACGGGCATCATACACACGGGCGTCCATGTCACAGGCAGATTATGGGACCAGTGGCACGGCTCCCACACCAGGTCTGGCCAGGGTACACGGCCGGCTCATCACATGCACACGGGCATCATACACACGGGCGTCCATGTCACAGGCAGATTATGGGACCAGTGGCACGACACCCGCGTTAGGTCTGGCCACAGCACAGCACAATCACATGGTACACAGTATAAGCCACGCGCGCGCCATGCAGAGCCCGGCGCACGCCCGCAGGCCCTCAATTCCATCTGGGCGGCATTCCGTGTCAACTGTCACACGCGTCAGTACACCGACTACACCGGCAGACATTTCATTCGTCATCGGTAGAAGGCAGAAGTTTTTCCCATAGCTGCCACACAAGCCTAATGCCGGTCGGAGCCTGGCGAGCGGTCGGGAGTGCCGCGGACTCGTCGGCGGGGACGGGTTCACCTCTGACACAGGAGCCGGGACGGGCTCACCTCTGACACAGGAGCCGGGACGGGCTCACCTCTGACACCGGAGCCGGGGCGGGTTCACCTCTGACACCGGAGCCGGAACGGGCTCACCTCTGACACCGGAGCCGGGGCGGGCTCACCTCTGACACAGGAGCCGGGACGGGCTCACCTCTGACACAGGAGCCGGGACAGGCTCACCTCCGGCACAGGAGCGGGGACGGGTTCACCTCCGACGCCGGAGCCGGGACGGGCTCACCCCTGACACTGGAGCGGGGACGAGCTCACCTCCGACACCGGAGCAGAGACGAGCTCACCCCTGACACCGGAGCAGGGACGGGCTCACCTCCGGCACCAGAGCGGGGACGGGCTCACCTCCAACACCGGAGCCGGGACGGGCTTACCTGTGACACCGGAGCAGGGACAGTTTACCTCCGATACCGGAGCCGGGACAGGCTCATCCCCGACACTGGAGCCGGGACGGGCTCACCTCTGACACCGGAGCAGAAACGGGCTCACCTTCGACACCGGGGGAGAGACGGGCACACCCCTGACGCCGGAGCAGGGACGGGCACACCCCTGACACCGGAGCAGGGACGGGCTCACCTCTGACACCGGAGCGGGGACGGGCTCACCTCCGACACCGGAGCCGGGACGGGTTCACCTCCGACACAGGAGCCGGGACGGGCTCACCTCCGACACCGGAGCGGGGACGGGCTCACCAGCCTGACACCCGAGCCGGGACGGGCTCACCTCTGACGGCGCTGCGATGCATCAGCAGCGTGTGCAGCGAGAGGCTGGCCATGCTCCAGATCCAGACACACTCGGGGCTGGCGTCGTACCTGCCGACAGCGGCCGGGGCGGTGCCGTCGGACGCTGAACAAGCTCGGTGCGAATTTCGTGTGGGGTTATGAGGGGAGAGGCGTCCTCTTTTCCTCTAAAAGAACCAACGACCACTAACTATACGGATATGCTGCTAGCTGTAGCCATCTGCTCGTGAGCTGTGTAATGCATCACCAGACATCCCGCAAGGCCTTCGCACAGACTGCAGACTGCCCTCGATGTCCGACGTCACAGGTTCGCCTCCGGAGCACCATTCCCTGTATTCCGTCCCTCTCCCAACCGCTCAGCCCTCAGAACTGTCCATCCGGAGCAGCACACTGCGCAGTCTTCACCTCACCCCGGCCGGCCAGCGCGCGGCGGCCGGAGACCCACCGCGTGGCCAGGTACAGGTTGTCCGGAGAGAAGAGGAGTCGGCTGACACCCTGACGCGACTTCGAGCCGTCCGCCGCCGACCTGGGGTGGCGCAGCGTCACCGGGCGCGACTCCACCAGCTCGTCTGAGGGTCCATGCCGGGTCATGTTAAGGCGACAGGGTCGCCGCTCATCAGCTCCGGCCCTTGCGCTGCGGGTCGCAGCACTACAGCCGCGGGACATTCGCTGAAAAAGCGGGGTGAAAGATCGCCGGCTTACATGATGACAACAATGCAAGCGAAGGGAACGAACACAGCCGTTAAATGCGACTCCACAGGCGTTGAGCAGGTCTGAGTAGCTTCGGAGACCAAGGAGCAGTATACAACACCAGCACTGCGGCCGAGGAGGCCAACGTGGCCTCCTCGGCCGCCTACGTTGGCCAACGCTGGCAGGGCCACCTAGCGGGCTGATGACGCACCGCCTCCCACGACTCAGGGCCACTTTCCAAACGCATGGTCAGCTTCACAGAACAGGCCGACACCTCTCCCGGCGGAGCACAACCTACGCTGGACGATGCCTCCCCCCGCACGTCAGACCCACGTGGAGCGGATCCCCTCCCCACGGCCGCGGCGCGGCCCGGCCAGTGGCGCCACCTACAGGTGACGTCGGTGACGCCGTCGGCGCCGGCGGCCAGCGCCAGGTCCAGACGGAAGCCGGTCAGCCGCACCTCCTGCTCGCGGTACACGTGCGGCCCGCCGGCGCCGCGCACCACCGCGCCGTGCAGCAGCGAGGTCAGGCGACGCCAGGTCACGTGACTGACCAGGTGCACCTGACGGCGACGGCGGCCGCATCAGACGAGCGGCTGGTGGGCACGCGGCGCGGCAGCACGGCGGGTACGACGGGAGCATGGACACTAAGGTGCTACACCACGTGACGTGAGGACGATGGTAGCCTGCACCGGTACAGAAACAAGCGCACGTGTAGTTCCAGATCAGTTGAGTTTTCGCCCATTACACGGGGTACGCTAGAACTTATTTCTCAACCCTCACTCAGAATGCGCTCATACGCTCGTGTGGGATGTAATACGCCAAGGAAGAGCAAGCGTCGTGTTCTGCGCCTTCTGCACCATGTAACGAAGGTGGTGAATTCCTAAACGACGCGAGGGCCGCAAAACGGAACTTACCTTCTCATCGAAGCCGGCGACGGCCAACAGCTGGCTACTGGGGCACCACTGCACGGCGCTGACACCTAGCGAGCTGTCGGGAAGTTCTAGTTCGCCCAGCTGCCGTCCGGTGAGATCGTAAACGGCCAGACGGAATCGCTGCCAGCCGTCCCAGACGCAGAAAAGCTCAGAGTCTGGACTCCATGCCAGTCCAGCCAGGTCCTGGCCCACCGCGTCCACGTGCTGCGAAGTGAAGATCAAGAACCTCCTGAATCTACACAGCTCACGCACAGTGGCAGGTCAAAGTTTACGTTAAACGACGCACTCTGGAAATGACTTAGGGCTGCGTCAGCCAAATATCGCGTTGAGAACCACGAGTGATGACAGGTCTTGAATGCTCCCGCCCGACCATCCCTATTATCGTCTCATTCTGATTCTCCCCAACACCCCGCCAATCCGGGGCAAGTTACGCACACCAGCCATGAATGGGCCACCTGGCGGGGGCACGTCCGAGCGCCCAGCACATAACCCGCATGGGAGTCCCTCTGCGGACTTGTGCTCGGCAGATGGGCCCTCAGGTACGTGTAGCTCTGCCCCACCGTTATACACTATCCTTCATTCCATGGCCCCGAAACGGTCATGACTAGCCGATTTGGCCTGAACAACCAGTCCTAAACGCGGTCACACCTTAAGTCGAAGGGCACGTGCGAGGAAACCCTCGAGCCTCGGCGCCAGCTCACAGCTCGCGAGTCGTGCATTGTTGGTGCGTTGCGACAGCGGGGAGTCAGAACCCCACCGACACGCCACGTAACGCCGGCCAGCCACGCGGCCGGCGGACCCGCCGTGGCACGGCCGCCACGCCCATCGCGGGTCACTGTGCGACCGGAGCGAGAGCGCTGCCCGCGGTAGGCGCGGACGCCCGGCGACGGGCGGGCGCGGCCAGGGGACGGACTGGACAGCCACAGGGACAGGAGAGCAGCCTGAGCAGACACAGGGGAACAGACTGGACAAATACACGGGCAGGGGAGCAGAATGAAGAGCTACAGAGACAGGGGAGCAGACTGAACAGCCATAGGGGCAGGGGAGCAGACGGAACAGCCACAGGGACAGGGGAGCAGACTGGACAGCCACAGGGGCAGGGGAGCAGACAGCGGAGCAGACTGGACAGATACAGGGGCCGGGGAGCAGACAGGGGAACAAACTGAATAGCCACAGGGGCAGGGGAGCAGACAGCGGAGCAGACTGGACATATACAGGGGCCGGGGAGCAGACAGCGGAGCAGACTGGACAGATACAGGAGCCGGGGAGCAGACAGGGGAACAGACTGAACAGCCACAGGGGCGGGGGAGCAGACAGGGGAACAGACTGAACAGACGCAGGACAGGGGACCAGACAGGGAAACAGACTGAACAGACGCAGGGCAGGGGAGCAGACAGGGCACCACGCGGAAGGCCGCTCCTGACGGGCCAGCAGACTAAGACGGAAGCGTCGCATGATCACCGGCACAGGCCGGGCCGCCTGCCGCATTGTCGGACACGAGTTGCGCCGGCGTGCGGCTGCTATCAGTCCTCGTCTTGCTGCACAGAGCAAATGCCATATGAATACGTTAAAACGGTGATGATCTTACAGCCGGCCTGTTTCGTTGTTCCAATTCAATGGTTACGTGAGAATGTGAAGGAGCCCGCTCGAGTCACGTAGGGATGTGAAATGGTCGTCACAATGTCGAGGATTGAAGCAAACCTTCACCAGCCAACGGTGGCGAGATAGCCGCCAGGCCACTCCGGAAGTACAAAGTCCGACCAGTCCATGTATTTTGCCAGTACCTTCTGGTAGTTTGAGGGTTGACTCCTGTCTGAATTGCAACTCCAGACTCAAAATATCGGAAAAATTAGGAGCTCAAGGCGTGTCTTTCTTTTATCAAAGGTCTAAATGCCACTGTATCGGTATCATCTGCCATATCACGAAAGACATCAAAAACGGTAGCTGCTAGATGTCGTGATCCTGCTCTGTCGTAACACTCGAGGATTCGGATCCACACGGCGCCCGACTCTTTCAAGCAAGAGCATTGCCACGGGGTAGGCGAAAAGGCCAATCTCCGATGGGCCGCCTGGGAGCCCAGGGCCGCCTGGGAGCCCCTGGGCCACCTGGGAGCCGACCCCTTGAGAGCCCCAGGACCGCTTGGGAGCTTCCTAGACCGCCCGAAAGGCGCCGCAAGGAACGCGCCAGATGTCTGAAGGGCGCATACATACATGTGACACAGACACTCAAATTTGGATACGAGTTCACGTACATGCTAATCCACCCTGTCAATTTGGTGCCTCTAACTATCTTAATTTTCCAGATCCCAGGCGAGGGGGGGGGTCAAACTGACTCACCACTCGAGCAAAGGGTGTTCAACCGGCCACCCGGGGGCGTCTTAACTCTTGCCTTGAAAGGAGGGGGGGGGGGGGGGAGGGGGCGGGACCGAGAAGAGTCGATGCGACCCCCAACTAAGCTTTTCGAGAACATCTCTACAGCGTGTGGTGCAATCTCTCGCAAATTTTCAGTAGCCTGTGGGGCATCCACTGCGTGTCTTTGGAAACCGAACATGTGTCCTTAGCTTCTGGCTTCGGAGCGGTGGCCTTTTTTGGGGAGTACACTGTACGGTAAGCGCGGACGGCGGGTGGGAACCAGGGGTGCCGCGGAACGGACGAGGGATGCCGCACCGTTACATTAGCGGAGCCACACATCACAAAGGTACAGCTTAAACAGATGAAACTGGGCACAATTGAACTCGGAAGCGAAAAACCACGCCTGGCTAGGCTTCGCGTTACTTCAGGGCATGGTCTGGTATATATAGGCGCATGGAAATCTAAAATGGTTCGATTTACGGGAAAATTTTACCTTTAATCTGGCATACTGGGATCAATTATTAGACAATCAACACAAAACGCATTACAAACACGAGAGATCGTTGAGACCAATCCACTAGTGGTTTCCACTGAGCTGTACCCCGCTTACTTTGGAAACAGCGGGGGGCCACACCGACCCTCTCGCTCCGATCAGTCCGCGTCATGAAAAACGGCGAATCAGGGCGAGGTTTACACTAAAACGGCGAATCAGGGCGAGGTTTACACTTTGTGCTAAGCAAAAATGAAACGCCTGCATTACAAGCACCCCCGGTGCCGGTTCTCCGCATCAGCGGGCCCGTGACAGTCGCCAACAATCATGACAAACCAGTCGGCCGCGAGGCAAACGGCATGCAAATCACCCACGACTGATTGCTTAATGGTCGCGCATGCAGCACGTGCGTTCGTGTCCGGTGCCACTGGCGGTGCAGCCCCTCCTGCCGACCAGGCCAGTGTCACCACACGCTCTGTGACGTCACCCGTCCCGGCCGCTGTATAAAGGCGGCCCCGCCACACTGGCAGGCCAGGTCACAGCCAACACTCGGTCACACACAGTAGCCCGGCCCAGCCACACCATGAAGGCGTTCTCACTGCTCGTCTTGCTCTGCGCTCTGTTCGCCGCCTCTCTGGCTAGCCCCGGCGGCTACGGTTACGGCGGCGGCTACGGAGGCTATGGCGGCGGCTACGGCGGGGGCCACGGAGGCGGCTACGGAGGCGGCTACGGCGGTCACGGCGGCGGCTACGGAGGCCACGGAGGCGGCTACGGCGGTCATGGAGGCGGCTACGGTGGTCACGGAGGAGGCTACGGCGGACACGGCGGCTACGGGTACCACGGCTAGGTACCTCGACAGAAGTGTACTGCATCCTGTAGCAGAGAAGCAGACTGCACCGTGGTAGCGTCTGGAGCTGGCTAGAGAGTTTCCGGCCTGGTGCTACTGTCATCTGTACAACCCTCCCTATACCTCGCCTTTATCCTTGTCTGACATCAGGTATTCTTCTCTCCTGCATCGGCGCCGGCCTATGGTACCGGAGCAGTTCGCTGTTGTACCATTTGCTGTTGCGCGTTTTCATGCCCGTACTTATGTGGTATTCCCATACGGAATGATTACAACAATAAACGACATGGGTTTTACGGCATGTTTGGTACAATGTTTTGGTAAGGATGAAGCAGTTCTTTTCGACAATTTTCCCGCCAATGATGTTACAGCTTACAAAACGTCTCGGCCGCTTGCCCCTCCAGTCGGTATCACATGTGAGTTGGTCGTGAGATAAGCCTGAGGACGACTGGTGAATACTACTGCCTGTATCACAACTCCGTAAGCTTCTGGCAGCTTAAGACTCCATTCCAAGACCTTGCGATTCGTACCATTGCGCTCGAACACTACAACATCCAAGAGGTCTTGCTCCCTCCATTCTCTAAGAAAGATAGCAAGAATGATTAGAGCTCCGTAGACGGAGCCTTCCCACGCACAGTTCAGTGGTAGACCGTTAGTCTAACAATCCCAACTTAGTAGGTTTGAAACTAAAATACGCCGAAAACTTTCAAAGTTGTGATTATCCACGGCAATGCATAACATACCCTTAAGAGATCTTGTTAAGGACCACCCAGGGGTGAGCTTTCCTGTTCACTTGGGGGGGGGGGAGGGGATTTCAATTGAGAAGAATGTGGGCCAAATCCGTGGAGAGGTCTACGTGTTGGCGTATTCTACGGGCAGGTTTCGTCATTGTTCACTGCTTACCCCGCACCCCACCTGACCCCCACCCAGCTCCTTTTGCGAAGCTACGCCCCTGGGACCGACTGCCAGTATTTCAATTGCTGGGCTGTGGGTGGGGGCTCGAAGCTGAAGCCCCGCTGGGAACACACGTGCATGGCAGCACGCCTAACATACCGACGCGCTTCTCAGGAGCAGCAAACCGCCGACAGGGCCAGTGGAGTAGCCGGCTGAGGTACCGTATGGACAGAACCACTGGTGACTAAAAGAATCATAGATCGGGCTATGCTCATCGTCCGGCGTGTTGGCATGTACACAACGTTTTGTCCAGTTCATCTCCGGCGGTCGTCAGGTGCTACTGAGTCGTGAGAAGGGCTGGACGGTGTTCGGCCTTCAGCCACGCGCGAGTCACAGCACGAGCTTCCTCACGGGGCTGCCGGAATGCCAAACGGCGTCTGCTGATGCTTGGTCTGGTTCGAATCCCAGCAACGTCAAATAAAAATTCGGATTGTGAGCGTGCATGGCCGACAGCTCAACGCCATCCAGTCGCTCTCAGGAA